ACATAAATGTAAAATATAAAAAGCAATTACCTTCCAGATTTTCAATCCGTTCAATATTGTTTAATGCTAGATTTAAATACTCCAGTTTCTTTAATTTACCAACATGTTCTAAAAAACAAACAAACAGCATCATAGTTAGAATGTGGAAAATACTGATACTGTACATACAGTACAATTCAGTTCTTTTGAATTTATTATTCCTCAGCAAAATCCATTTCAATGTTAGGAAGGGCATTTTATGGTATTGTACATAACAGAATTTAATTTGTGGCATAGCAGCCCCCCAAAAATAATGTCTTAAAACTTTGTAGCAAGATTGTTTTACATTTTAAAGAACCAAGTCTTAGGCATATGCTAAACCACTGAAGAAGTCTACATATTTGCCTTAAGAGCTTACAGTATATGTTTAAATTATTATTAGTGAATATGGGACCATGTAACTAGGTTAGGCTACAAACATGACTCCAGAATTGTGAACCCCATCAAACAGCTGGGTACAGGATGAGAGCTGCTGAAGATGCTAACAATAACAGTGATATTGGCTTTTATTGTGTAGTTAGTAAAGCTGTACTAATTTTATCAAATGTCGCAAATGCAAAGTTACAGATAAACAGTATGCAACTGCTATGAGGACTCACCAATTTTAGGAATGAGGTTGCTCTGTAGGTAAAGTATTTTGAGCTCTCTGCACCATCTATCAATGTGTTCAATCTTCTCAATGTCCTGCTGGTGGAGAGAGACTTCTTCCAAAGAGAAAATCTCCAGGTTGTTGTGTTCTGCACGTCGCCTGATCAAATCTTCAGTGACTGGTGTGCACCAAGGAGTTGATTCAAATGTATGTTTCGAGAGAGGCAATTAATTGAATTTGATTTCTTTAATATGTTTACCCACTCGTCACATTTACAGTACTAGCACCTGGTGTTCAAGAAACGTATCGAGACATAGGGCGAAATTTGAAAAGAAGATTTTATAAGTAATCGGCTACATACCAAACATACAGTATAAAACACTGCTTAAATGTTCCAAAATACGTTTGGAGAAAGCCTACTGATTTTCTCAGAGAAACATAAGTACTTTGTTTAATTCAAATTATTTCATAGACTAGCAAACTGCCACTTGCCAGGACGGGAATTCAATAAAACTAGAAAGTATATCACTATCGAGTGAATTAAATGTATTTAAAACCAATAAGTTTTCATACAGCCCATACTGTACATTGGTAAACGTAACTGGTGGAAATGGGAGTCTGCACCTTACTGCCTGATAGTTAATCTTAACTACTGTATTTCAGAGCGCTCAATACATTTAATTTAAAAAAAGTATTGATAGATAGTACACACTATACTGTATATCCCATATAGCAGGACGGTTTATTTTCCTTCGTCGCAAAGTTCCCCACTAAAATACTTACTCAGCACCATGTTTTTCTTTGCTTTCCTCTTCAAACTACTTTCAAGACGCCGTAGCCATGGAAACCACGCAGGACGGCAGCCGTCAAGATCCAATCTGCTTCACCCTGGAGAAGCGTTCATCTCTAACTAGAAAAGATTATGTTTATCTTCTGTTTCTTATGCCTAAATAATGCAAGTTTACACTTAGAAGTGATTGCAAACGTCAAGAACATGCCATCATTCATTTAGTTTTTTAAAATAGCATTAATCGCGTTTTTCAGTACAGTGAGATGAGATGCAAAAATCAGTAACTATGCCCCAACCAATACATTTTATATTAACACTTAAAAACAATTGCAATTTATTTACATATATATTATTGAATAAGACATATTTTGCGTTTGGTGGGTTTTCTGGGCTCAATAGTAACATATACAGTATATATTATCTTATATATAAGGCTGAATAATAATTCCTTACACTTAAATGTCACTTTTGGACACTCCACAAAGCGCTTTACAGGTAATGGGGACTCCCCTCCACCACCACCAATGCGCAGCCCCAGCTGGATGATGCGGCGGCAGTCAAAGTGCGCCAGTACTCTCACCACACACCAGCTATCGGCCGACAGGAGAGAAGAGTGATGAAGCCAGTTCATACATGGGGATGATTATTAGGCCATGATTGGTGAAGGCTAATGGGAAATTTAGCCAGGATGCTGGGGTAACACCCCTGCTCTTTTCGAGAACCGCCCTGGGACTTTTAATGACCACACAGAGTCAGGACCTCGAATTTACGTCTAATCTGGAGGACGGCGCCTTTTTTTACAGTAAGTGTCCCCTATGCTATACCGGGGCCTTAGGACCCACACAGTCTGTCGTGTGAGGCACTAGGCACTTTTACCCAGGAGGTCTCCATCCGGGTACTGACCTGGCTCACACCTGCTGAGCTTCAGTGGGTTGCCATTTGTGAGTTGCACAGTGGGGCTGCTGGCACAATGTAAATAGAGATGAAAAGTAATTTAAATGCAAAGACACAAATGGTGAAAAGCCTACCGTTTGCAACTTAGTGTGGAAACTTAACAACGTAATTTAACTTGGTCATGTGTGATACAATTCAGTCGCTTACTCACCACTAGAGGGCGCACCGTCCTACTGCAGGACAAACCCCAATCCATTTCAAGTGTCAGTAGACAACTTCCGTTTTGCGGACGTGCGTTTCTGTCAGTTCGTTTTGCGGAGTTCTCCCATAAAGAAACACTAATTTAATGAGACAACGCTTATTTTCTCTTATCATTTCCAAGCATGTGAAAAGAGAAAAAAATCTTTGTGGAAAAGAATATATAGTGATACTATATACTGTATGACTAATGAATTCAAGCATTTTTTTACATTTTTTCTCATGTCACCATTCAACAACTTTCTGGCGATCTGTTTGTTCTTGGCTATACAATAGTAATATTTATGTACATCTAACTTTTAAAGCTAGTGTTCTCGGTGTCTCGTATCGACACCAAGTCGACACCAAGAAGTCCGTATAATGTTAAATGTTATTCTCTTGTTTGCAAAATTTTACATACACACGTGTAGAGTAAAAAAGAATCCTATAAGCTTTAAATAATTTTCTAACTCATTCAAGCCATACTCTAATTCATTGAAAATATTTAAAAATAAGCCTGGTGAGTTGGTCTACAAATGTCTTGTAGCATATAAACTTATTTAATGTAACCCCTAACACCACATAACCTCTGTAGTATAGACAAAGTGTTTTGTTGTTGTTTTTTTTCTTCGTTTCATTCACTTGTTGCTACCTTGTTGTCTCATGTTGAGACATCTGTATATTTGCATATACTGTATATACCCCTGTTTGTTGTATTTTCCCTTTTTGTATTTAAATACATTTTTTAAAAATGAATTAAAGCTTTTTTTGTCTTTCAGTTTAATACATCCATTTCCCAATCCACATCCGGCTGACCCCAGTGTTTATTCTTTTTTAGCACACTGCTTAATTAATTACTTAATTGGGCTTTTACTGAACTGATAATTATATCGGAGTTAGAGGTGTTGTCTGTTTTGAGCTACTAAACTGCTGTTCATGGGCACCTCCAGTTTCTGACCCACAAAACACTACTCACCAAACAACATTAACAGTAAATTCTGCTGTAGCGAATGTCTGGATCTCCTGCTACAGGTGAATTCAGTAATATCCAGGTACAAAAAAGGGAGAATTTACAATACGTGTTGTAGCAGCCTCAGTACTAAATGAGTCATATTAAACGTGTGCAATTTGCTGGGAACTAAGTGATCCAAAAATCTTATCTAATTGTTCTGAGAAAGAAGTCGGGTTATCTTCAACAACATGGTTGTTCTAGCCTTTCACTGCCCTTTGTGTAAATAAGTGTCTCCTTTTCTGTCTAAAATGTAAAGTGAACATCTCTCTAGTGTCCATGTTTGTTCCATGGTTTGTGTTTTAGTTTAGAATCTGAACATGTTTATTTGGTTGGCTTTCTGTAAACAGCACCTTTAAGGATTTTTGGGATTTACTTGAATCAGGTGTCTTTCTAGGTGTAGAAATTGGTATTGATTCTGAAACTGGGCCTCAAGAGGTGAACGATACAGTAGGATGTGTACTCAAATCATGTGCTGTCTTTGAAATATAAAACAATAACAATGCACATTTTATTAAACAACGCACATTTAAGTCTTTATTAAAAATACCTCTCAGTTATTTCCACTCATACATGGGCATTGTATACAGCTTACATTTTTTATGGGAATTTTAGAATTTCTAACAGTAGAAACAAGAAAAAAAAAAGGCTGTTAACATTCCTTAAAAAAACATCACTACAGAAAAACATCAAAATTAGCATTTAAAAAAGACATACTTTATACCAGCACATTCAGGAAAGCAGTGCAGATCATTTGCACTTCCCTGCTAATATAATGTCTCCTTGTATACATTTACAGTAGGCAGCATGCTCTAAGAAGGGTCTTTTCAGGAACCATTATAATGGACCGGTCATGTATAAAATAAAAAAGAAAATTACCTAGGGTGAACCAGCAACTGCCCAGAATAAGTGAAAATCAGAAATTTCAGGAAAAATACCAAATGTAAACCCCACATAAATACAGTACAAAGTAGATAATTCTACATGAAACATTAGCTGCAACCCTGAATAAATCTACAAGACGTTCCAGAAAGGCATTATTATGAAGGGATCTTGAATAATGTATCTACTACTGCATGTTCACTACCCCCAGGGTTTATACATTCAATAAAAGCAGTATTCCTCTTCCAATGATATCCTATTTTACAGTAGGTTATCAAAAATAACATGTGCACAGTTTGTAAAATGCAGAGCCTGTGTGCTCAGATAAACACTTTAAGGGTAAATGAAGTTAAATGTCAGCAAAAACAGAAAAAGTTTTTTTGTTCTTAGAAGTATGTATTACTGTAAAAAAGAGAACTTCAATAAAAATAAGTCCCATTTAAGGCTATGATGAGAACAATAACAGGATTTTTTTGAGGATGATTTACTGTATAACACTGCACTTCATTTTTACAATGAACCCTCATCATGGGTCTTCTTAAACCCATTAACTGAACAAGGAGAGAGCAAACTCTCTAACACTAAGAGCTGCATACTAACATCTCTATACAGTCGAGAGCCACAAGATAAAACACATTCGTCACAAATCACAAAAATATTTTAAATTCTTTGCAACTGTTTTTTTTAAATTCCTATTATTTTCTAATACTGTAAATTATTTAATATGTATATAGAAAGTTCTATTTAAAAATAATTTTGAGTTGTTCTAAATGACACATTTTTCAATATCTTTTCAATATTTGTCAACATTTTTCAAAATGACAGATACACCATTTCAATATCTACAGTAGATACTGTATTTATCCAAGTGAAAATAAACATTTTCGATTCAAATAAAGCCTGAACAGGATAATTATCATCATCGATTTACTGGGATGACCTTTTTTTCCAAATCGACTCATACAGTAGGTACCCATTCACAGAGCAAGGCTTTTAAGCGATATACCAATCTGGGCCAATTGATGTGCTCAAGCAAAATTCAGCAGTTCCTTACCTGGTATTCGAACCCACAACCTTACAGTTATGAGTCTAAGAATCTAACTACTACTCAACTGCTGCCCATTACTTTGATTTCTGGGTCAAACAGTAGCCATCACTTAGTTCTGAATTCAGAGCAATACTGCCAAAATTATTTTTTTTAGGACATAGATTCTGTACTTAGAATGAATAGAATAATGTTGTGCTTTCAATTATTGTATTGTTTTTCTATAGAAAAATAAATTAAGGAGGAACCTCAACTGTTCACTAGTTCCATAAATATAAAGATTCAGTTACTTAATAGCATTTTATATGATCAACTTTTCGGTCTCTCCTTTATAAAAATAAAATTCTTTACAATCATGCTCAAAATGATCTAATTTCCTTAATTTTCAGTAATTAGATTACTGCTTTCAACCACAAGGAAAACATTGGCTAACATCTGACACCTTCTGTGCTGGGCTAATTTTACATATTTGTTCTGTAAATAGTACAAGAGAAAGTAGAAAATAACTTTTTTAGCTTTTGCACAGTATAAACCAAATTAACCATATTAAGATAAGTTTTGTAACTCTGTAGAAAGGAAGGCCTTCACTCATCAGATAGCACATATTTAGAAAAACACCTTTAAGGCCTGCAGAAAGAGAAAGAAACAAATTCAAGTGAGGAAATGTTATCAATTTTATAAAAACTAACAAAAAAGATAACTGCTTATCTTTTAGTTTTCTAACTGCTTATAACATTTGCAAGTGGGAACATACGAGTGGACATCTATAGGTCAGTGGAAAAGTACAGCTCATGTCTTAAATATTGTAAAAAGGGAAGTAGAATGTCGTTTTTCAAATGTAAGCAATAACGAAAATCTCAATAAGGAGGTGTTTTCCGTTATCCAAGCTTGACTAAGAACTAATGGTTGGTTTTAGGGATTAGGTAATCTATGTTAAAGGTACAATAGGAAGTTTGTCTGTTACTGTGTATAAAAAGCGCTGAGCAACATCTTACGGAGAGACTAGCTTTTACAAGCTGATCTCCCGTATGCATACGAATAAACAGCTCTTCTTTTACCAACACCCGGACTCTGACATTTTAATTTTTCTACACAAGTTAACAGATTTGCATTTATATTGATCCAGTGAAAGAGTTCTGAAGGTTTTTGATAGGATTCATAAGACTTATGACCAACTGAACTGGTTGTTCATGAATGAAAGAATTTTACTTTTAGAAGAAGCTGCAAAAAGCTTGTTTTAGAACTTAATTTTTAAGTACCTTAGAATTGTTTTCCTGTTTTAAGTACTGCTTTAATTTTACTAAAGCCTAGTTCGAGGACATTGTTACGTCCCCGTGCAGGTCCGTGTGCTTTTGTTTTCTTCCGCACTTTCCGTTTACAGGTATTCTGTTTTTCATTGGCTCATCATTCATCTGTTTCCACATTCGTGATGTCATCCCCGCATTGCTCCGGGCCAATCAGCAACAAGACCTCAGGTTCAAATACCGAAGAGGTTCCGACCTCGAGGTCTTCGGCTCAACTTTGAACGCTCATTGCTCGCCCTTCCGCTGGTTTTGCTAGTTTAGTTTTTGTGTTATTTGTGCTTGTATTACCTTGCTCGTTGCTTCTTACTTGTTCTCATTGTACCCCATTCCTTGCTTTTGTATCGTATATTTGCGTATTACCCCTTTTCCACCATTGTGCAATTTGCTCACTCGTGTTGTGTTTAACTGTGAGCTTACTGTAAGTGTTTAAGTGTTGTACACTCGGGGAAAAGGTAATAGGTAAAATCGTCGGGTATACATTTCACTCGTAGGGTTGTTTTCTGTCTAGGCACTAGGTTAGGGGCGTGTGCCACTTGTGCGTTTTGAATCTGGTAGTCAAGGTAGGGAAGTTAGGCGCGTGAGGATGCAGAATACCTTTTATTTGTGTTTTGGTTTGACCTCTCCGTGTTGGCTAGATCTGTTTGGTTTTGTTATTTTCTTTTTTTTGGCACCGCTCGTGTTTTTTTGTTCTCCGATACCCAAATATTAGTATATCACCGCTATTGGACTATTCCCCCGTAGGTGTCACAGTATATAGTATTAAATTGATATTCCTATATAGGCTCATTAAGGTTTCTATAGTGCAAGATACAAGGAAGAGAACAGAAGCATCAGCATCACTTTATATGAGGGATGACATCAGTAAAGTTATAACGCTTTCAACATTTTAATTGTAATCTAAATAAAGACTTAATTTAAAATCTTACCATTTTTAATTTTGTCTATTCATTTCTTGATGTGATATCCTGTAAAATAATATTGTAGCAGTGTTACATAATGTTGCAACCAATTCAGGAGCAAATTATTTTCAGTTTTCTTTGTTACACTATAAATAGGAAGTTGAAGGCATTATATTCATAAGACACACAAAACACCTTTTAAACTAGATGTAACTTTTCAGTCTAGAAAGTCTCAAAAAGTCCACTGGAAACATGGACTTACTTCTGTTTTTGTATTCCATGGTCGTACAGGTTTTCCAAAGGAAGATTTTGTAAGAACTGGAAAAAAAGTGCAGAACATTTAATGCAATTCTAAACGAATGCTCTCTATACTATACTGTATGTGTACAGTATATAGAGTAAAAAGAAGGTGACACTTACAGAATGAAGTGAAAATCAGCATGGAGGTAACCGATGCAATTACTAGTACGGCCAACAACCACCTAAAAAAGAATATATATCCATATCACTTCCTCACATTGACTGCACAGATTTAACATAACCAGATTTTCTTGGCTTCAAACCAATTCAAATATCATGAAATTCAGAAAAAGTGTACCTGGAAAATACTGTTACACAGAAGCACACAGCGAGGATAAGGAGAAAGATGACTCTTGAAATAGTAGAATCTGAAACAAGAAGTGCAAAAGCTTTTAGCATAGTATGCACATTATCAATTTCTCCATCAAATACTATTTAGACTATAGACTATTTAGAATGGAAATTCCACTTCAATCTGTAAAGAGTGATTGTAGTGTCCCTGGAGAGCTCTGTAAAAGGCCATCATTTTGGCCCAGAGCCAATATTCATGTTGACACTATTCCAGAACCATATAAGTTAAAGATAAAATCAAAAGAGAAACAAAAAATAAAACATGTACAGTAATATACCAAATTCCAGTTTAGAATGTACTATGTCATTATATGGAAATCATAAACATCAACATCATGCAATACTGTACCATCAAATTCAAAACTCAGTCCTCTCCATATAGTCTTGAGTCAGAAAGACTGTCTTAATATTAGAAGATACACTAATACTGAGGCACTGTGGTGCATCATCTGTGGACAACTAAACAACTAAGCCGTATAGAAACACCAGCTTTGAACTGAGAGAGACAGGACAAATGCAGTCTCAGTAATCGATGGAAGGCAGTAATCTCTACTGATCACATGTTGATATGTGCATAAACACAGCAATGTTAGTGATGCATCAAAATATAACCTCACCTTCCACTAGAGAAGGCAATTGCTCAGCATACTACATTGAGAGAAGTGAGCTATGAGATTAATGTGTTTTTAGGAACATTTTTAGATAATTAGTGTAATTACTGTAAGTAAGGGATTAGATTCTGTAAGTCTATTTGATCGCTTTCTTAGTTCAATGATTTCTGTAGACATATTACCATGAATGCATTGTAAAATTGTAACTACAGTCCTTTGATGTAACACCCTTTCATATTGTACCTCTGTGAATCAACTGAATGCTATGGGTTCACTGAATTACTGTACAAATAAAACAAGCTATCGGTTTGTCAATTTCAATGACTTTTTACTGTTTGGAAATTGAACTGGGTAGATTAAACTCAGATGACATTTATGTTAGTAAAAAAAAAACACATCATTATTGCTTAGTTATTAATCTAGATGGAAAATCTTTGGACAGTCAAACTAAGAAAAGGCTAAGAGTGTCTAGAGTTAGCAGTCTGAAAGATCAGTTTATACTCAAGTACATGAGACTCTATTCACCTGATTGCTTGGTCTTCTTATAGTAGCACTCTCTGGGAGCAAATGGGGGTGAAGCAGAAAGGTCCAGGAAACCTCCCAGGGACTGTCTGAACTGTTCATGAGAGAAACAGGCCTCGGTGTGAAGCTCTGAAGGCTGGTCTTCAACTGGCCAGGCTTTGTTACCTGGAAGCACGCTGTCATCTGCAGTGAAGGACACATGTCTGGTCATGCTGTGTCATGGCAGGCTGATGGTCTAGGTCAATGCAGGGAATCCTAGTGCTTCATAAAGTAAGCTATTGGATCTTTGTGACATCATTAGAGCCTCCCTATGTAAGTTTTAGTTTCTACGCATTTACAGTACAATAAGATCTGCTAAAACACTGTCTACCTCGGTCACTTTAATAACATGACAACACCAAAGCTATAACCCAAAGCTCACAATCCATCCCAACATGGTCACTTTTCATTCTAAGAAGGTAAGAATTCTCCCTTAAAAAGGAAAGTTTGTTATTTACATAATGCTACTCATTTATATATTATATTCCATATAATATATGTTTATATGGAACAATATGTTTTACTCCATGTGTTGTTGTTTTAATACCCACACAAACATACTGCACAGAGATTACATCAATATCTAATAAGAATGTTAATATTATTTTTGGAAGCCGTGTGACTGCTAATGTGCTGCTCAGAACCAATTTAGAACAAATGAGATTATGATTATCATAGCTGAAAGGGCAGCTCATTTGATGATGGTCTTATAGAATTAGACAATCTGACTGACATATCCTTCCTGTAACAAAAGGTTTTCTCCCTGCCTTTCTTTCTGTACTGCCTAGTTATCACTTTGTTTTTTATGTATACTATACGATAAATGGTAAATTGGATTTAAAAATAGGATATTAAGGTAAATACACTATTAAACACACAAGTAATATTTAAACAAAATGGGGCTCAATAACATTTAGCACTCAGTCCAAGAAAAAGACAACTGCTTCCACTAACCATTTGTGCCCATTGAATAAAAAAGGATAGACTGTACACCTGTAGTTTTCAAGGATAAAGAGTTTCGTTTTATACTACTCCATTGGCAGTTCTCCCTGAAAATGTACAATGAATATTGATTCTGTCTTGCTCACCATAGGCGGAGCTGCTGTTCAAGTCGGAGTTTCTCTCAATCCAGGAGGATTCTGCCAGTGGGGAATGCACATCCCCAAAAATGCTGCTGTCTAGCCAGGAACCACAGGACTCGCTCAGGTTAAAAAGACTCGCCAGGGACCTGTGGGACTTCCTCCTGCGCCGAAAAATTCTGAGGAGGCACGAGAAAAACCAAAATTGAGAGCTACAATTGAGCTCAATTCAAATCAATCAAATGTGTATTTCAGTGGGTCTAGTTATTGCTCTATAATCAAAGTTGTGAATAAGAATAAAATAATAAAAATGTACCAGATGATCCCTGAACCCAGTAATTGTTCATCTTTATAATGTGCCTGCATATCAGTCATGGGTTTTTATATCTATTTAATAAATTCTGTACTTTATAATTACCACACCCCCAATTTGTAACAGTCTAATATTTGTGATCTTCATCAGGTATAACAATATTGCTGACAGTAAGGGGAGGTCAATGATTGATGATGGTAATGTAAATTCTCCCAGAAGCTTTTCTCATTACTGTATAACATGCATACAAAAGTATTTTAAACTTACTCTAAACAGGTTTGTTTTTTTTTCCAGTTTCATTTGGTAATTTTCCATGGGTAAAACCCTGGTCTTGCAATATCTGTCGTTTCCCTTCAGGTTTTTACCCATGGGAAATTACCAAATGAAAATGGAAATAATTCCAGTAATATTCTAGCTATATATAAAAGTGTGAATAAAGTTTCTAAACTTTAGGTACTTCTTCATATCATAGGACACATTTCCCTATACTATGAGCACAAATTAAAATGTTTTCTATTCATAAAACAAACATTTTATTATGCAAGAAGAAAAGGCAAAATAAATCTATGCCCATTACACAGTATCATTAATAGTTAAGGGCTTACATAAAGTAAAACAATAATCAACCATCCTTTAAAAAAATCTTCTTTGCTATTATAAAGGCTATAGTTAGAGCCAAACTGAAAGTCCAATATGCCTCTTGCATGAAGGTTTCAGACCATTTCTTCATGGTAGGGTTTGTTTGACCTTGTTAAACAAAAGAGTCATCATATACTACTAGATTTACAGATGGGGTATGGCAAAGCTGTGATTTGAATTAGGCCTGAGTATTTGCTCCATCCATCCCTTTAGGACTTATTCCTGTTAAGGTTTGTGACAACCTGGAGTCCCAAAAGCACAGGGAACATGGTGATACTTCACCTTCTACAGGGCACCTGTCCATTTCAGTGCAGACATTTGAAAAATGTGAACGGAAAAAAAAACCTCACAACCTCTTTCCAGCTCTTTTACTCCAATAGAGAAGAGTAAATAAATCATTTCTACATTTCTACATTATTTTTGTTAACTGGAAATATGGAAACAACAAACTTTTTCTTAACATTTCTTAATGAATATCCACACAAAAGGAAGCTCTAATCATGCTGGACTGTGAAAGATTAATGTTTAGTAATAGACATTCATTATTGAAAATTTCCAAGTCTGAAAGCCCTCCGGTTACACATATATTTCAGTAAATCAGAGGGGTATTAATCTTTAAAGACTTTACTAGCATAAACCATAATCTGCTCTCATTCTTCATCGGTCTTTGAGCAGAAAAATACATAAAATACTGTGTAAGTGTAAATGATTCTCCTTTCAAGGACAACTGAGCAGTATATCGTAAAACCTTACATATTAACACCATCTATTTAATTCCCTTATTAGCAGTAATATCCAGTCTCATTTGTTAATTTCTTTTACTAATATAGAATTCTGTAGTTTTACGTATCTTGTAAAGTGCTTCAATGTTTTGCTACACAAACTCAATACACAAATGTTTTGCTACACAAACTCAATACATTTTTATCTATGGCCTACTGTATAAATCGCAAGGAGAGCATGCAAGTGTTTAGACATGGTTGATAGTGATCAGATGAATCCCCATCATTTGTGCCATACCTGACCAGGTTCTCTTTATAGGAGACGTTGGTTTTGGAAGGGGTGAGAGAGAGGTTTCCCTCATCGTCGCACACAAAGCTGTCCTCTGTCAGGACATAGTAGCCGTTGGACAGAAGCCGGGGACTCCTTCGGCACTTGCAGGGGGACCCAGTCAGGGGGTTGACTGAGTAGCACTCATAGGAGCAGTCAGAGGACAGCGGGGACAGGCTCAGGCTGAAAGACAAGAGGAGCAGGACACAGGGCTACTGCCAACAGCACATTTTCGGAGAAACATTCTGACTTACACATGTTGGAAACAAGACTGTAACTCCAAAGGGGCCTTACTGCTATTGAACATGCAGTTTAATACTATACCTGTCTTCCAAGTGTTGTGCCATTAATATTGAGTGATTTACTATGGATATTTTGAATCTGAACATTGTTTTCACAATAACAACCTATAATAAATCTACAGCATCCAAGAAAAATGAGAATTTCTACATTTGGTTACTACAAATCCAGTTTTTTGCTTTCTGAAAATGGGACTTGCAAATTAAAGGACTGTACTACTGTATATAAGGGCCATGTTTTACTATACTTTTTCTTTTCTGAGATATTCCTCATGTTGAAAAGTGACTGTGCAAATTAAACATGGATTGGATTGAAAATATTGATTTAAATTTTTCACAAGTAGCCAGTCAGCCTCTATTATATTTGTAACACAAAAAGGTCAATTACTTTGCACTTGTTAAAAACAAACAAGATCAGCGCAGTATATTACCTATGGCATGTCTGGTCAGTAAATGGTCTCTTCCTTATCGGTGAACCTGTTAAAATAAAAACATTTTAGCTATTTCTAACAGCCATAATTTAGTAAATATCATTTAATCCATTAACTAAGTGAAATGGTAATAATTTTGGTAATGACTTGAATCACATGCACTGCCCTTAGACTACAAAGAAATAATGTAAAAATGTTTCTTTTCAGTGAAAGCCTGACATTTCATATGTCTTCTGCATATGGTGACATTTCACATGGCACACACCATAGTTATATGTCTTTGGTGTGTACACATTGATTGGTGGAAGAAGAGAGATGCCTTTTCCCTAGAATCTTAATATATATAGTATGTGATTTAGGCATAAATTAAAAAAATGTGTGACAGGGGTTCTAGTATTATTAAGGAGACATTATTGTTTTGTTGGATTTTGTAATAATAGATCAGAAAACTAATATTTCACCTCAATGACTTCATCATTTCCTTGTGTTGTTACTCAAGGGTAAGGCAGAATGTCCTGCAAGTCTGGAATATGTCCTGGAATATTGTTCAACAAGGAAGCACTTGGACTGAAAACCCTTTATTACAGTGTAGGATTTCTGTGGTTACATTTTTGCGTGTCCACATACAGTAAACCCATTATTGGTATGAAATATCGTCTGAATTTTTAGCAGGTGATTCTGCAACAGTGATTGCACAGTTCACAGCAAAGAATCCTGTATTTTGGATATACTATAAAACATATTCTGTTACATAAATAATGTTACATACTGCTTATAATTATAAATGATCAATCTAGCATTTTCTGTAACCATTCTATCTATTAATTTATTTAGATCTATAGATACTGTATCCCAGTTCTTGGGAAGTGTTTTAAAATAATTTCTAATAAACATTATTCAATGCTATGTTAATCTAAGGAAAAAAATTAAAAGCAAAGGATTTTTTGTAAAGCAATGGATCATCAAATGCATGCCACCTTCACAGTAGCATGCCTGCTTAAATTTTGATTGATTTATAGACTGAATATAAGTACATTCTTTTTTCCTGAACATAATGTTTTTTTTTAATTGATGTTATCATGTACTGTGTGGAAGATAAACAGTGTGTCATCTGAAAACATACTTGCAACTACTTTGGAAAACAGAAGAGACATCCCTGGAGGATCCCAAATGTTCCAGGGAAATCGGAAGATTAGCAACAACACGTCTTTTTTCCTTTTGCTCTTATTTTCCCAAAGCCTAAAAAAAAACAGTAAGAAAAACATGTAGGCAAAAGCAAGATGACTTTAAAGAAAACGTCAAATTCTGAAGATATTACATTTTAGGATAGATATGAAAATTCAGCATGGGAAAAGGTGAGCAACAGCCATACGGTTCTCTCGAGATAGGAACGGATACCCAAATATGGAGCCTTCAACTCAGCTGAGAAGGGGCACTTTGAGAGAGAAGAGGTTTGAATAGAGAGCTGCTTCAGCATATATTGGCTGCAAAGGAACATGGAAGGGTTAAGTCCATGCTGAAATGTAGAAAAAAGAAACGCGATGTTTCAGCTGTTAAGGTGAATAGGTGGTTACAAATACTTGGGTACAGTATGTACATTTGTGTTCTGTAATCATTCGGATGGAACTATACGGAGGATTGAAGTAGTTCAGGAGGGTAGCTGCGTCAGCATGCGTAGGCTGAAAAGGAACAAGTAATGGGTTTATTCCATGCTGAACAGAGAAAGAAAGAAATGTGGAATAAACTTATTCAGCATGAAATAAACCTATTACTTGTTCCTCTGTACAGAGGATTGTTGTGTTAGACCCAGATTCTTGGTAATGTGTCGTGCACAAAAAAGCTGACACATTCAAAATTCAACAGTGAATATTTAAACACTAGACTTTACATAAGCCTTTCTGAGGGAAACATTTTTGATAATGATAAATGGGAAAAGTAGACTTTTCCTCTGTCTTTCATTTTATGTATTTCCTTCTCTATATATTGATCTCATCTGTTACAAGGTGGTGAAGTTACTTGGAAACAGACACATGCCTTTAAGTCCTAGAGAAGAAATGTCTAGAGAATTCAAAGCCATAAAGGCTAGACATACTCAAACACGTTATTTGAAAGACAACACACACTTTGTAATTTAAACAAGTGCATGCTTGGGAACGATAGCTTTGCATTTAGTAACAGAAACACCCCTAGGGGCCGGTGAATAATCAAAATGGTGAGCTTGTGGCTCCATATCAAAACCTTATCAAAAGTGCTTGCATTAAGGATGCAGACAAACTCTGCTATATTCAAACATCAGATTATTGCTTTATTTTTGTTTTGAATAAAGGGAATAAGGTTTCAAGTTAGATCATGAAAAAATAGGCAAATGTATATTTCTGCAAGGTTCCTGTCTACTCTGAAATAGTTGAAGCCCCATGAGATGCAGTATACACATTAAGTGATGCTGTAGAAAGAAAGCTCTAAGGAATGCTGGTTTACACATTGCTGGTTACTTTGATTTGATATGACTTCAATGCATGACTTATGAGAACTAACATAATGCACTTATTTCAACAATAACATCTGAAAAAAATTATATTCACTCGCTTTTCCACTAGGCAATCGAATGACGGACTTTTTACCTCTACTGAATGTTATTCCAATGTTTAAAATACGTTTTTAATGTAACAGAACAGGTAATCTGCTCTTTTAAAAGAATACTAATAGTCTCTAGGACCAACAAATAGGTCATATGTGTTTCTAGTCCTTTATTCCTCTGCTTAGCCATGATACAGTAAGTGCACAGTCTCTCAGGCTTGTTTTCATGCCTCAATTAATATCTGGAGCAGCTGTACATTCCTGAAAGAGGCCAGCACTTCTATAGACATCCTTTGAAAGGTTCCCAAAGATATCTTCCCTTCAAAAACAGTCTGACACCACGACACAAAAAGTAGAATGAGCTCACTTTTCCTGTTAACACATTCTTGCCCGTAGATGTTTGCGTTTTCAGTCACTTCAAGCACTGCTTCAAAATTCAAATTCTCAAACGGCAGAACTGCTGAGAGGCAAACTGAAGTAGAGTACAGAAGCAACGAGTTTATATAGTACAATACATACAATACATAAAGTATTGGTACCACATCTCATTCCTCGATTAAACGTTTTTGTAAAAAGACCATTTCTTAGGGCACCACTTCACCAATACTCCAATTTATGTAAAATATTTTTTCAATTGGTACCTTTTTCCAGTAGGTTAGATCTTTTTGATTTTTGGAAGAATAGCAGCAAGAGAAATGTGCAACACTGATAGACCTAAAAATATCACTTCATTAACTGAACTCACAACCTTCAAAATGTCAATTCTGTGTAAAAAAAAAACATTGCTGTAACTGTACTTTCTCTGTCTGTTGAAAACTGACATTATTTTTGTTTTCCTATTATGTATTTTTGTATCAAAGTGTCTTAGCTTGACTGCCCCTGATCAGCCAAATCAATTTGCTCTGACTTAAATCTCCCAAATGAAAGAAAAGTATTGTACATTTACTAACCAAGCAAAACATAATATATGTTTATTTATTATGTCTGGTTAAAAATTATATTTATAGTGAGGATAATATTTGAAATAACATAATTTTATTTAACTATGGGTTATTCTTGATAACATGTTTCACTTTTTTTTTCTTTTAGATTCATTACTTACTTGCATTTTGTCATGTACTTAAATTTTCATTAATTAATGTGTTAAGCATACTATTTGTCACAGGCTTTGTGCATCTGTAAAGGGAATTGCAAAATGTTTTGCCTTTGGTTGGGACAACATTATTATTCAAAGTTGGGTGTATTTTTAAACAGCGTTATCATCTGAATAAGCGGCAAATTCCTTTTAAACTATTTCAAAGACCAGTAAAAGACAAAGACCTCAGCAATTTGGAATCCAACAGCTGATAAAGAAGCGTTCTTTGTGCTGCCTTCTAACGACTGAGGCTGTGGCTTGGATGTTCTCAGATCACGTGGTCAGATGCCTGTTTGTTTTCAAACAGTGAGAGGAGAAGGCTGTATCAGAATTAGCTGTCAAAGAGGCAGAGATCAATGTGGTTTCCTCAGGAAACAAGATGTTATCTTCCTGTCAGCTCTGTTACCAGGCAATAATGCCAATCAGACCGGCAACACATCCTTTAATTAACTTTAAATTCTGTAGCACTAAATTACAAGTTCAACTGCGAGATCTTTGCACATTGCAAATTGATTATTATATCTATTTTGCCTGTCTCCATCAATTGTTCAGGTTTAATCTAGCGCAGCCAAATTTTCCAATTGTTATCATCAAAAAGTGACGGGTATTTACATTTTTACTTGACACATTGTGCTGTAATTGTCCTGTACCTTTCCTCCAGAAGAAAAATGAAACAGGAGATGTTAAAGTACAGGCTTGTACTGTACTGTAAAGTTCTGTACAGGCTTGTCACCTACAGTGCAGGATTCAGAGTACTCTGATTCTAGTCTGCTTTCTCACTATATTACTTTTATTTCAGGTCTTATACAGTACATCTCACAGTAGTTGTGGCAAATAATGTCAGCATTATAATTGCAGAGAGCTCAACTATATACTGTATCTTATCCTCCTGGATGTACAGTATGTTTGCCATACCTTTTCCAGATTGCAGATAGTTAAGACTTAATGCTGTCACCATTGAAGACATGGGACTGTGGGGGCTAAGACATTCTGAGCTGATATGCAGTAACATGTAATCTTCGACTCACGGTTTATCCAAGACCACTTAAGATACTGCAATACATTTTTAAAATAGCAAACGATTTGTGAACAAATAATTCATTGTGGTTGTTGAAATGCATTTGAGAGAAAACTGTATCACAACTGATAAATAATACAAACTTTAGTAACAGCTTTGACCACAAATCACAAAGATTGTTCTGTGGTACGTTTGTACAGCACCGGCTTTGTTCCGTATGCAGTACATTCTTAAGCAGCAGATGATGCAAGATGCTGTTATGAAATGTAACCGGCGTTTTCAACAGTGCTTTTCATGCTTTCACGCAGATCGATGTAATCAAATTCACGCAAAGACTAGATACTAAAAAACACCGGGAATGTCACTCAGAAATGTAAAACTTACGAAGATGGTCGTTTTTCACATTAAGAGATAAATCTATTTTTCACTCTCTCACCAAAACGTATATTAATGAAAACAAAAGAATACTGTTGCATTGTTTTCTTCTAAACTCGCAACTATAAAAATAAAAGTAGTGTTTAATGTCCAGAAATTACACCGATTCACAAAGTATCGCAAAGATGAAAACGTGTGATTCTCTATATACTGTAGTACAGTACTCCCCATACACAGACAACGATACTTCATTGACAGCTACAAAAAGTTTCTTCAAAGTTTTGCAAGCACAGAAAAATGGCTATAAACGTACTGCACATAAATAATTCACTTACACTTTGCTACGCTGATTCTGCGTTCACGTAAAAAATGTCTTCTTTATTTCGTATATTGTCTTCTCCAAAATCATCGAGCTCAATGTTCTATTTGCTACTGTATAAGACTGCGGTTATTTTGTCTTCCTGCAAACCTGACCAGTTTACACCACTGTGAGCCTCTGCTCATGGCATTCCGCTGGGTCCTAATGCCATTTGAAAATGTAAAAAAAAGAACCAAACAAACAAAAATCCAAACAATTTAAAAAATCATCAAAGTGTAGTGTTTTTTTTTTTTGTTATCTGTTTAATAGTGCGGTTCATCAAAGCTTACAGTGTATGGCAGGTTTACAGGTAGTGCATACTATGGGTATCTTAATTGGTATTTTATTGGTACAGTAGGTTAATAGAAACTGTAAATTAAATATAAATATATATTTTTAAAATACAACACCTCAGCTTAATGACAAATCAATGAGGTTGATAGACCTTGAAAATAAACCAATTTTTGCTCCCTCAACATATTTTCTCCAGAACTGTGTGTGTGATCTACAGTACAGTATATTTGATTCAGAGCTTTGCATTGATCCTGTTGTTACCAACCAGACCTCGTTATCTGTATTATCCAAAGGATTAAACTCAGCAGGCTGTCAATGACTAAAAAGAAACATTAAACAGTTTAAAAAACCTTTTGCAAATGACTGTTCCCAAAATTCATTGCTGGCTTTTTCAAATATTTCTTACTCTTATTGTCAGTTACGTCAACAAAGTGTTGTTATAGAGGATCAGCTTTTTTTCCAAAGATATATGAGTATAACCTTCATAAGAAAAAAAAATATTCTGTTGATTCTATACCCCTGTGACTAGTAATTGTGATTGACAATCACAAAACATTCCTAGGAATTACAGCTTCAAAACTCAGAAGTTGCCATCTTGATAAAGCTCTTTCTTCATTGACTAGGATTAAATCAAAATTGTGGATTTCATATATATCACTTGATGTCAGCTTTCTATTTTCTAGAAGCTTTTTGCATCCAGTCAAAAATAGATATGCCTGGGTTTGGACTTACCTCAAGTATTTAACTGTGATGGATATTCATTAAAATATACGAACAACAATCTTTACCTGAAGACATTAAGCCTGGCTGAAAGGTATTATGGTTTGAATTCCAGTTAATTTCTTATTCTGCTAACATAGTTACTTGTCTTATTGGTCAAAATCAGTCATTGCTTGGGACCGTAGTCACGATTTGTCTAAATGTTCCAATCAAACAGTACAAGACCGAACACTTTGAGAATAAGGTTTGACTACCAAGCTATAAAAAATTGTATGATACATGACCACACAGCAGTAAATTACCAGACTGTAAAAGACATCCTAAATTAGAAATCGCTGGTGAAAGGATATAAACCATTTTGGCATCATTTCCTACAGGACAGTGGGTTGGAATGAAGGTAGGTACTGTACTCTTCTACCAGCTACAATATTTCAGCACCACAGTCTGCAGTGGAAGATTGGACAGCTCATCCTAGGCTTTTTCCCCCATCTTTCACAGTTCTTGGGATGCATAATAGTGTGGCGTTACACTTCCCTGAAGATTTAACCACAACCCTACCTCCACTCTTTTTCAACTAAGCCTGAATACAGCACCTATGAAAAAGTCTGCCCTGTAATATAGTCCATTATTTTCTTATCAGACTTATCTTATGTTAAACAAGTGGCTGTTATGCATTTTATACATATACTGTTATGCATGTGGCTTCAAGATAAAAAAAAACAATTCTGCCAAGAGACCAACAACATGATGAATAAATTATCATATAAATATACAGTAAGATCACAATTATTTTAGTTTGATTCAGCATGGATGTGGTAGAATGATAAAAGAGTAATGCAAACCTTTCTCTCATTAAGTAATATTTGAAATATTTCTCTTCCTTAGAACGTTTGTATAAAAACTCATAACTTTGAAAAGAAACAGTATACAATAGTTATACAAAGTTTTAAATGGCATTCAAATCTACAGTATTAGGTACAGTAATTATTTATTTAATTAGTTACTTTTATAAAATTGAAATGGTAAAAGGGCTTCAAAGTTTGTCCTGATTCGTAGTATCTTGAGCTTCCATCCTGGAGTAAAAAGAAACACATTGTTTTGTAATTTAACTGCAACACTCTGTGAAGTTGCTTTTGACATAAACCTCATCGTATTATTATTACAGATAAAGAAGCTCTACTAATGAAATAGACAAAAATTAAATACACAGACATGTACAGATGTACATACAGTGAAATGCAAAAGTTTCCACTCCCTACCAATACAATACCAATGCCACATTATGAGCAATTGCAAATAATACCTACATTTTTTCAAATTAACTTTTTTATTCAATACTGCAATGATCAAACTGAACACTGTTTAACACGAAGAAGCTTGAATGTCTTCAAAATCTGCAACAATAATATACAAATTTAATCTTATCGATTGCATATTGTAAGTATTAGCAGAACCACAAATTTGGCATTTTATCAGCAATTTCTGGGGGAGAAAGAAAGGATATCCTTTCTGTTAGCTAATGTCCAGAAAAAACTGGGTCATGCAGAAAGACAATGAACATGAACATACCACAGATCTACCACAAAATGACAATGTCTGACCCCAAATCCAATTGTAAAGCTATAACAGGACTTGAAGTTCAAGTGGGGAAAATCTTCATGTTACTGTTTAAAGCAGTCTGATGAAGATTAGGCCAAAATTAATAAAACTCAAAGTAAGAAACTAATAAACAATTACAGGAAACTTCTTATTGAAATAATTGCTGCTCAAGTAGATGCCACCTGTTACTGAATTTAACAATTCACAAACAGGGTATTTACTATTGTATTATATTGTATCATTTTTAATTATTTGAATTAAATAATATAAATGTATCTAATGTCTGTGTGTTACACAATACGATTATCTTAATTTTTGTTATAAAGATGTAATTACATTTTAGGTCTGAAATAAATAAGAACACAGACCAACCTTCGGCGGGAGGTTCAGATATTTTTTGGAGTAAAAAGTGTCGATTCTTTTATAGAAAATCCTATATGGAAGGGGCATGATTGCCAGGTCAGACAGCAACAAAATGTCAAAAGAGGGGAAGAATGTTTCCACGTGAATGGTTTTGCAAGGGGCTGCATATTATGTACATCAATAAAAAGTATTTTTTGTGGTTCACATAATGTGTGAATAGAAAAAACATTGAAAATGACTATATGAATAACAGTGATTTTTAACAGCGATAAAGCATGCTTCAGCTTATTCTACACATGACTTATGGTACAGCTGTACTGATAAAAGGGAGTGCAAGACTATGTACATATAAATGCTTCTGTTCTTTAACTATTTATAAGCGCTATATAATTTAACACTTGGCACAGTGGTGCAGTGATTAGTATTCCGGCTTCATATTGCTGGGTTCAAAACTCCCATGAAGTGTCCTTCAGGACCCTATGCAGACAGCACACTCCGGAAGGGAGTGAGAAAACACGGGGAAAAAGACTAGGTTAGGGGCTGGAAGAAGAACATGGGGCGTGTCAAAGGCGCGCTGGTGTCCGGGGGGGTGTATCCAGGGCAAACAAGTCCAGGGGAGTTCGTAAGATAAACCAGGGAAAGCCAATGTTCAAATCCGGGTGATCCATCCTGACACAGGCAAACGGAGTTAAAAGCCATAGCGGGATCCGGCAAAGGGTCGGGGGAATAAAAGGGGGGTAACGGGACCAGACGCTGCCAGTCCCAGACCCAGATGGGGTTGCTCATGGACTCACTGGTAGGCGGGCTTCCAGGCGTCCATCTTCCAAAGCTGAGCCCAGATTGGCAGGAACGTCTGGCTTTTATAGCACGGGGGCAGGAACCAAAGGCAGGTGCATGAGATTAAGAATAAAACTGTCTGCCCTGTGCCCTGTTCAGGCTGTACCCTGTCTTGCACCCATTTCTTTCCCAGATCGGCTTCAGCTCCGCTGTGACCCTGAATCATGCAGTCTACAAGAGCTTCTGAAACCATCACTTTTTCAGAATTCCTTCTTTACTAACAGTGCCCTCCTGTGGGCACTCAACATTTCTACAATCCATCAGTGTCATCACTAAAGCATGCATCTTCACTATGAAGCTCTAATCCATCTATGTTAAATGCGTCGAATGTTTAAAATAGCCCTACTAAATATTTCAGTATCTTCAATACTGCCTCCCTAAAATTAACCTCTACATTTTTCATGAGAACCTTCATGAGGCCTTCTATACAAAAATAGACATTTTTTTTTATTCTGCTGGCAGAATCTTTAGTTTCCTGATCACCAATGAAAAGCCCAGTCCAAAAAGTGTCAAGTCTTTATAAAAAGCTGCACATAAAAGTATAAAAGTTCTAGTGCTTGTAACAGGCCTGCAGTAAACTTTACAAGTTTGAATAAATTGATATAATATGAATTTGTTTGTAACCAAGTGATGGATTTAAAGTGGTTTTACAGTATTTAGCAACATTACACTTTTAATGCAGTTCTGATGCAATTGCACATTCATTCTTTAAATATAACTAAGTAAATTTAGCAAATAAAATACATGACATTGTCTTCTAATTTTGACAAAGTGTACAAAAAGTATCAGTATTTAGTGCAACAATAGTACATTTATCATTTTTATCATACCCATTAAGCAGTATTCAATGTATTTTTTATTTGGCCCTAATAAACTGCAGCCTCTTGTACAGGTTCAGTTTAAACTAAGGTGAGACATTTGACTGCACCTCCAGAGTGGGTATCATGCACCTGTGCACTTGCCTTTTCCAGCTCATACCACAAGTATAAGGTTCTACCAGATTCTGGCATGGCCAATTAAGAGCTTTCATTTTTATGCTCCCTTAACCATTTGTTCACAGATTTTGGTTCATGTTTTCAATTGATATCTGGCTAGATATGTTTTTGCAAGCAAACATGAGTTTCTTGATAGGAAGCACCAAGTAAATTTTGGAATCCCTTTGTCTGTCAGAGCTTTTTCAAGGCTGTGGAAACAGAGGATGCAGAACATCCCTCAAGCAGAACAAATCCATCCCAATGCTTCAAAGAAGGGATAGCTTTCTTTACCAAATGGGTTTCACCTTTCTAATCAAAATTCAGTGCTTGTTGAAGTGCCTAGAAAATATATATCAATATACTGTATATTTTGTACAACACACACACACATTTACATTTACTGTAGTTGCTGTTTGGCAAATTCACATCTTCTTATGTTGTGGAAGAAATCTACTGTGGATGTGAGATTCATCTGGTTTTAATTTAACTGCTGTTTATTCTTGAAGATGATGTATACTGACCATGCCAATCTTTGACTCTGGGCCTGTGTTACCCTCATAAACCGCTTTTCTGATGGTACAAATGGGAAATACAGTGGTTTTGCATCCCTTTCTTTGTGGGGTAATCAGCACCCTGTTAGCTTTGAACCTCTGCATTGTGGATATCAGAATTGAAGCCAGGAAACTTTTTAAACACAGTAAGCATACTTTTTTTTTTTAATTGGAATAAATATATAGTACATAGAATCTAATTAAAAAAACTGATTACAATTACAGTACATAGAGATAAACTTACAAAGAGACATACAGTACAGTAGGTAGGAATATGCAAAAAGGGAATTAGAATTTGTTTGGAACAAAGAGAAAATGTACGATGATTTAAGAGAATATGAACACGTTAGTATCTACTAATGGTAGGCTCTGGAATATTGGTGGCATGCATGTCTCTGGTCATGTTGGACTTTTCTTTAAGTTTTGCCTGAAGTAATGTGTGTTCCACTACGCCGATCCGGATGTCCATTTGAACAACTTCTTGTTTCAGCTTCGTCAGACTTTGCTTAATTTTCACTACAGGAGCTGAAACATACAGCAGATACAAAATGAGCTCTTTAGTCTTCTCCTAAAGAAAAAGCAATGTAGCGATTCCCTTCAAGACTTACACGCATAAGTGATATGAAATGTCATGCTGTATTAAAAAGATAATTAATATAAATATATAAACTGCACATCTTACAAGGAGATACTATCAGGCTTATGGTGTGTTTGAGAATGCACTTGCTAGAAAATATGGGAATGAATATTTAACTTTAGCCATTTAACAATGCTTAGAAGCAGAACTTTCTTAAGAAATGGCATACTGTATATTTTAGAGAATGTTTAATTAATAGTTGCTTCAAAATTGAAAACTATGGGTGTTGCCAGCAGTTAAGTTTAGACAGAACTACACCTCATACTGTATCTTACCTCCATCAGACATACTGCTGCCTTTTTCTTCCATCTCCTGCTTAACTTTTTCCAATTCTTCTGTAATCTGAAAAAAAAAACAACTCACTTGTAGGGCATTTCCAAGAAGTAATATAAAGCATGTACAGTATGGTGATTTCTGTAATCAAGACATAAAAGGTGCTTTCTTAATCAAATTAATTTAATATATTACATTCTTAATTGTCCTACTCAAAGACAAAATGGAGATTCGTCTCTTTTAATATAAATATTATTACACAAATAATAAAATAAAATGAAAAATCACAACATTATTTTTTTTTTCATGATACCAAACTTATTCTGAAAGTGAAGAGCAAATGATACTTGTGCACTAGATGATACCATCACAGAGATGCCATTTCCCATGCCCCAGGCTAATGACAGGAATTGTTGTTTCACAGTTTGCAGGGGATTCAGTTATCTGTTACAGGGAATGCTGAAAACATCCTGCTGGCATTGCATCTTCTCTAGGGTATGGTAATGGTGGTTACTCTTCAGACATATCCATATACGTTTGTAAAAAAAATGTTTATTGGAACAGGTTACCAGGAAACCCGTTTCATTAATTAATCACAGTACTTTGGAATCTAGATAGATCTATGAACATAAATTTAATAATCTCAGATTTTGTTGGTAGATTTTTCTCTTTTATATAACTCCCTCACCTCAGCCAGAACCCTGCTCCTTCCTGTTACTCCTCCACTTCCTTGTTGATAACGTTCCTTTGCCTACACAAAGAAGCACAGAAAATGTAAAATATGTGAGAGTACTTCATAAGAAAATTATTTGGAAAAAACATTTTCCAAAACTTTGCAAACAATAAACATTTAAGCTTTTTTTGTGTGTGTGTGTGTGTGAATAAGAGCTCATATTCTCCAAATATGAGTGAATATACTGTATAATAAAAATAAGTTTTAAATGAATTTCACAGTAACCTTATGAGGCCATCAGCAGATCAACTAGATGAAAAATACTGTAGTCATATTATTACAAGGCTTAGAGAAGTTAATTTGTTATTGCTTGATGCATGAAATTATAGAAATATTTTTATCAATAAGCAGTATGCTGAGTGTCATATATATTTAAGAGTCCAGGGTTTAGTGGATTACTTTTATAATGTTTTTAAATAACAATGCAGAGTATTACATTTCAGTTTTGCAAAATGCCATGGCATGATAATGTTCTACTGTTTCTTAGACAAGGAATTAATTTCCTCATGATCCAGTGAACATACTGTAGCATTTCGCTAACCAGCTGTTGTTCCGTGAAGGTGCTCAGAAAGTTAACACCAATAAAAGGAGATATCCTATAAGACACAGCAAAACAGAACAATATTGTCACCTCACTGAGCTGTGACTGTGCAGCTCGATATTCTTGAATTAAATGTTCCAGTTGGTTGTTTATGTACTTCTCTCGACTGCCAATTTTTTCAAGAGTTTTACTAATTTCTTCTTGGAGCTTGTTGAGGTAACCCTGAAAAATAAATGGATTGAAAAGCAAAACAAACCAGAGACTTGATTCATGCCATACAATCCTTAAATCCATAAATATACTTCAGTTACACCCAATTTTAGAATAATTATTTTTTTCAACAATACTAATATTTGTGTGTAAAATGTGGTACTTTTTAAAAACATTCATGAATAAAAAATACCTTTGTCTCTTTCAGAGATGATTCGATTCCATCTCTGTGTTGGTGCATCTGGTCCACATGAACTCTCCAATCCTGCAAATTTTAGAGGAAAAGGCTTAACTACCTATAAGGTTGATTTGAACAAACAAAGCTCATTTTGTTTGGTAAATCTTTAATTGTCCATTAAGAACAGACACATAAAACACATGTATAGTATTTCTACACCATATCATATACACTATAGTATTTTTCTAGATAGGCCAAATGACCTCCTACTTCTGGCTGTTATGTTTTTGCTTTTGGGGAAAAAAACAAATTTACATGTACTGATAAAAAGTTACTGCATTCAGGAATATTTTACGTCTTAGAACAAAACAACGCACTCTAGCTGCAAGGTGTGGAATTACAGTACAGGAAAGTGTTTTGGCCCTGTTTGGTTCTTATGGCAGCAGAATGCCTTGCAATTGCATACAGTATGTGTGTATAGGAAAGAAATATCTTCACCTTGTTATCAGTTCTGATTGTGACCTTCAGCTGTGGAAGAACACGCTCTACTTCCAAATTCCATTCTGCAGCATCTGTATTGGATTCCAAAATATCATCTGGTTTTAAGGATTCACCTGTTTCCTATAAATTCATAAAATCAATTAAATTAACATACTTTGTCTTAAAACATTTTGTGATTGCATGGAAACTATGAATTAATGTAAGATTCCAATGAAACACTTGTAAGAAAACGTTCAGACTTAAATTATTATTTGCAGTGTTTATGTCAGTTGTATTTCACATTAGAAAAAGTAAAACATAAGTATTAACAGAAATATACCTCAAACAAGGACAGCTAGTTATAACATGGCAAAATATTACATGTTGAAACCATTTTGGATGTTCTGACCTGTTTTTTTGTGTAAATATCTTGTAATAAGAAGACTACTTTAAAGGAACACCATTCTGTCTTAAAGAAAAGCAAAAAAAAAACGTTTTACACTCTGATTTGTCCTTGTCTTCAGTGCTTCCAAGTCTATGAGATGTTCTTCTTCATAGTCATCCGGTTCAACCTACAAAATAAAATTATCAATGAGGATGCGTTTTTGAGAAATCAGCGCCCCATAGTTAAGGTCAAAGCAAAAGAGCAAGCACAGGTTATTAACACAACTATTGTAATTTCATACTATATTCTTTTTACTTGTGATAAGGATTTATTTTCCTCAAATGTTATTTTTGCAGAAGTACAGAAAACCATTTTTTTAATTATCATCAGTATACTTTATTCAAAAATAAAAGCAGCTAAAAAACAGCTGAGCTGATTTTGTCCTGTGATATACAGAATTTAACTGCCTAGCACTACTTTCAGTCATGGAGGCTTTGTGAACGTCCACCACTGTAACAGCTGCATCATCTCTAAAACCAAAGCTAAAGGGAGGTCTGTGAGGAAATACTTCCTAATACATCCTACTTCTCAAAAGCAGGTCAAGACATCAGTTACTTAAAGTAGTGCAAGATACTCACTATCATTTCTTCCTCCACTTTACTCAGCGTAAGTTCAGCATCATCATCCATCACAGATTCCTCCTCAAGTTCTTCTTTGGGGTAACTCGGCCTGGAACATCATTCAGACAGAATTTCGTTCAATGAGGGATCTTAAATGTTCCAGCAAAGAAAAAACAAATCTTTCCAGGCACCGTACAGTAAGTAGCATGAAATGCCTTGTATTCCATGCATAAAAGTATTCAAGCAGAGAGCTGCATTAGTATGTGTAGGCTGCGAAGGAACAGGTTCATCCCATGTTTCCATGTAGCAAATAAAAAAAATACAAAATGCAGAATAAAAAAAAAATTGCTACTTTCCTTCTCTCCCTCACACCAGAAGAAGGCTCCACAGCCAAAACAAAGTGTTTCTTTACTGTACCTTTAAGCATGGGAAGAACCTTGACCTGTTCCATTCCATGAAAGTGTCTAATTAACAATTTGCTATCATTGCTTTGCAGTGCAAAAGATAACTGTTTTAGGTTTACTTCTTCCAAGTGAATCTCGTCCGTTTCAGTGCCTCTTCTGCCAAGCGATCCAGCACGTAGCACACATATTCCCCATAGCCTGTTTTCAACTTGGAAGGAGGGAAATCCACTAATCCACCCTAACATTAAAACAAAGAAAAACCCTCAACTCGACACCTTTCCACTACAGCATAAACGCACAGTTTCAGTCCCTGAGGGCAAAAATCCAGCAGGTTTCCTACTTTTGTTTAAATGAAACAGTTTTCAAAGTGTTAATGTTCTGGCTAAAGTTATAGTTTTTTTTACTTTACTCAATCTTCTGCAGATGTCAGCTGGATACATTTCAGCTAAAATACCTATTAAAATTGAATTTTCCCTGCCTTTAAGATATACCTATTTGAAAAGGACATGTATAACCTGTGAATAGTTGGCCCTTCAGGACGATAGATGTGAACCTCTACTCTAAAGAAGCGTCTCTGAACCTTTTCCACTTTGAGGCACACAAATATGAGTAATTCAATTAATAAGTAAAAAAATAATTATTAATAAATAAAAAAAAGTTAGTTTTAATATGGAGACTATGGGATGATACTTTTTTTTTTTGGACAGGAAATGCTGACAGCACCCCACTGAAGTGTACTAGAAATCTCAAATAGTTTATTCTTGTTGTAAGGCAGGCTTTTAAAACTTGTATGTTAAAAAATGGAAAGTAACATCAAGAATGCCATTTGGTTCTGACCCTGATCACAAAATCAGGGAACAATCTTTATCAGCCTTCATATTCAATGGTACATTTATTCATGTGTGGTAAAGCAGACACTGGGAAACACTGCTTAAAAGAGAGACAAGCATATTTGGTTAGCCACCTGCATTGCAGGTATACTTACAAAAGCCCTGAGCTCTGCCAATATATTCGAGACCGTAGCATTGGGGTCATCATATTCTTGAGGCTGCTCAAAGGGTCGCCCAGCTTGGTTGATGAGCCACGAGGCAAGGGTGGTAAACATGAAGAACTGTTCTCCTGGATTTGTCGGAAGGGCGAAGTAGTGACTGAAAAGAGAAGTTTTTTTTAAATCACCCTGATGGCTCTGAAAATTCAGCATGCAGTCAGACCTTGGCAGCATAATTAATGTGGTTTATGACCGTTTACCTTTAAAGGCTAGTGAAGTGTCTGTCCTTATCTTATTTGACTCTATGCTTTGTTTGTTTTAGAGGTTTGATATTAGTTATTTCAAAATAGGATTAATTGTGATTATTAACAATTATTCTACCCTAGAATTCTCTCTAAAGGAAATACAATATAAACAAATCATTACTTAGATCTTGAAGGGTATTCAATGAGCTTTAGAGCACTGACAGACTCCGAGATGATAAGATATCATAGAAAGACACATGCACTGGTGCAAAATGAAAAGGAAAGAAAAACACATCGCAATGAAATCCTCTATTAAATCACCCTAAACTGGGTCAGCGTCCTTTCAGAGACATTTACATGATTTATTTGACTACTGATGATCACATACTTTATATCAGTTATAATAACTGTATATTCTTCAAACATTAGTTCATTAAACGTGGAAAAGGGTGAAGCTTGCTTACTACAGTTCTCTTTAGCAGTTCTTAGAAAATGCACCATTTAGCTTTAACAGTACCCTGAATTGTGTATAGCTCTGACTACAACATTCTCATAAAATACTACAGTACCAGCAATCTTTATAAAGCACTGACAGCATGAAGCATGATAGAATGTTTTAGTTAAAAAGCAGACCCCATCTCACGAAGGTAAATGAACAACCTTAAAAAAACAATATGTGGGACAATTACCTTGATGGGCAGAAATGCGATCCCTACAGTATACTGCGCATGAAATAGGTGTACAGTACAGGTACACGGGCCTAGCAAACGACATCCCAGGTGCAGTTTGGTAGTCAAGCCAAGGTACAGTATGTACGGTAAGGGCGCTGTGGAGCTGTTGAATGTTTCCCAGGTAGAGGCAGAGACAGCTACAGCTACTGTATTACCACAAACACTTTAGAGAGTAACACTGTGAGACCGATGAACAAATGAACGAACTACTCCCTCGTTCATATTTCCACCATACCCTTTAATCTAACACACATTCTCAAATGATGTTCTATAAATATCATAAAAGAAGCAAAACAATATGGTTGTGATTTTATTTTTTGATTTTACGGGCAAATTTAAGCATTTTTTAAAATGATGTATTTTTTCATGGAGTATTAGAGACTTCATATGCACTTCATATGCACGGTAGGTGACCGTAATTTGACGAAACACAAAACACACAAAAAACGTAACTTTATTTTTCTACGATTTCCACTATAGACGGAATAAAACTAAGATATAAAATCTGGGTTTATAAACTGCTGAAGTCTACTTGCACCTTCAGTTGACAGTTTAGTGAAGCATGACCATCAGTTACCGTGATAAAGCTTTCATGTTGTGCTTCCTCAGCACCTCCTCCTCGTAATCTAACAGCTTCAGTTTATCCAGCAGATCCTCCATCACCACAAACATCTGGTAAGCGGCTCCCGGACCCCGTTCATCCTCGTCTCCTCGCCTGTTATCATCTGCCATCGGTCGAGAACTGTTGTTTTTTCCGTGCTGTGAATCTTTTTTGCCAAAGTTTTTTTTGTTTAAATCACAAACTGTCAACCAGTGCTGTGTGCCAGCCACTACCTGTTGTAAACCAAATTGTTTGCTTAAAGCGTCGTTACCAAGGAGAGTCTTGGCCGGATCTGCTCCCACAAAGCAAAAGTAACTGAAGTGAAAATCATTTAATGTGGGGACGCTTTTCACAGGTCGAATATTGCACCGACGTTAAATCGGGAGCAGAAATAAAAATAAAAACAATCGTGGGTATAGAGAAGTCAGGGAAACATGAAACTGTGACATACACCCGGAAGTAAATCCAAAGTTTCCAATCCAGCTCCTTGGTTACGGCAGGTTCCCAGGAAATTGCGTTTGCCATGGAAACATGGTTGATTGATTTTCTGGGAGTTAAATCACAAACAGCTCGTTCGAAATGCGTCTGTGCTCTGTGGTGGTCTCATGGCAGTTTCAAATGAGACCAATTTATTAATAAAATACCGAGATTATATAAAAAGTAATCGGCTTGAGGTTGATCGTTTCAGTCTACGGTGACATACTAATGTTGAGCTAACTGCGAACAATTTAAGTAAATTTTCAGAGTTTTAATGTCATATGAAATATAGCAGTAGCCCCCACACCCTGCTTTCCTATTGTCCAAGGAATTATCAACAAAGACTGAATGTATTTTAAGAGCATTATGCGAAAACACATTTAGACAGCAAAAAAAAAGACAACTCGGTGAAGCTTCGTATATGTTATGCAGTATATTTGATGCTGAATCCATGTTTAATGTTTATATATACTGTAACATCGCTCATGTGATTTGTTTTCAGCTAACGTATTAATCGTCAAAGCATGGCCGCATTGCTTTTGCAAGCTATTCGTAATACTTTTAAGTTTAAAGATTTAAACTGATGAGTGTTTAATGATGGGTGGGTGCGGGGACTCGGTCTCATAACAGCATATCCTATTCGATAATGACAAGGGAGAAATCTGGCATATCGCGTGTCAATGCACCTCTCAAGGTTTGTTTGAGGTGCTAGGAAACAGCACTACCCCCCTAGAGGCTTCTCTGCAGCCTGACAAAGACTTCACTAATGATCAGAAAGCCTTTATTGGCGGCTCCGAGCAGCACATTACCTACAGGGAGTCAAATATACAGCTATTCATCTACCAGTTACCGTAGCAATGAAACCTAAAAAAAAAAAAAAAAAAACTACTGACAAAACTGTACCTATAAATTCAAAAAAAGTTTTTTTTTTACCTTACGCTCACTTGTTTTTTAACTTACGACTCCTGGGGTGACATTTCATATATCACTTTTCCATAAAGATAACTTTGTTTTGATTAAGTCATACACATCATATTTTGTTACTTCCCTTCTCTTCACCGTAAGAAAATAAAATGAAAGTATTTGCCAAGTGAGCAATACCATCAAAGCACAGCAAAACGTACCAGACAAGAACGAGAAGTATAACATTAGCCTCAAGCATCATAACTAAGTATAAACGCCTTTCCAAATTCTTCATAAAGCAGGACATTTCAACAAAGTGTGTATGTGTGGAATAGTCCTGATGCATTAAATTGGATTCAAATATGTTCAGTACATTGTTGTCTCAGTGGGTTACAAGAAATATATTTTAGTCATTTTAAATGATCATTTCTGTGTTTACTTGTAAAGACCTATAAGACTTCAGAATTTAAAACAAAATGCTGTGCTACTGGTTTTACAACTGAGTATGCCTTGAGCAACTCTGTTGTATGGGGTTGCTATAGCACTGTTTCTTGCAAAGTGTACTGGTTTGAATAAAATTGGAAGAATAACAATGAAAGCAAGGAACAGATGTGTAGAAGTAGGTGTATGCACGTAATTTTGGCAAATGTACTGTACCATCTTAATAGATTAATTGAGCCTGTAGTCTTTTATCTGCAACACTCTAGTCAGAGAGTATCAGTAAAATAGTAAATGTTCTTGGCTTGGCAAGAATGGGTGAGCTGGATTTAGTTCAAGTTGCATTACAGTAGTTTCCATGGTAGCACCCAAACTCTGACAGACAGAGGGAGGGGGGAGTGAGGATTTTTTTTTCAAACAGAGTTCGCACTTCAGAGGAAAGTGGGTTTACAGAGCTGCGAGAAACAAACACTGACAAAATACTGACAGGTGGATTACAGACAGGAGGACTACCTGAGCTCTGCTTTCTGCAAAGGTAACAACCAAGAAGGCTGAGATAAATGAGAATGTCTTAAGTTTTCTTTAAATTGAATGAAGGCCCTCAGTAATACTGCATTCTGTTATTGTTTGTGTGCGACTTGGACGGCACTTAACAACTTTTGTTCTATGACACGTTAATTTGTAAACGCTTTTCCCTTCTCATAGAACTTTTCCTGCTTTCTGAAACTGGACATACTTTTGGTTTTGGTCTAATAATAAATAATAGCTCTTAGAATCCATTTTAGCCACAACACTTACCAAGAATAAGCAGCTTGTCGCTATGGAAGGATACTCTGTATTAGTTTCTCGTTTGTTGTGTTTGTGAAATGGTCATTTAATCAGGTTATTTCATCAAGTTGTCAAGTCATTCTTAGAAAATGAGGCTTTTGATCAGCTCAAGTAAAACATATACATAAAGTATTCAAATAAACCAAAGTTACTGAGCATATCTCATGATGAGCTTGCCAGGGAAATTCTGACAAACGTATCCTATCTGACATTGCACAAATATGTTACTGAATGTTATCTTTGTAGCAAGTTCCTCCTTGCGCATTGCGTAATGAAGGTTTCTGATAATGGATTGACAGAACCTTGTTACATACTATATTAAGTAAATATTTAGAAATTATACAAGTACCTTTCTTCTTTTTTTCCCACACTGTTGAAATCAGATGTCTGTTTTTAATCGTTATTGTATTTTTTAATTTGTTCTTTTATGGGTATGTGACTGGATGAAACTGATGAAACTGCTGTATTAAACCCTACTGTATATTGCTCTAGGGCAACATGATACTGGGTAGTGGAACCGTGGAAACCACATATTCATTTTTATTTAGGATGTTTACTTTTTTAAAATAGTAAACAGATTAAGCATGAGAATGTCTATTTTTTATCATTTTTCCCTATGTTGGCCATTTAAGTGCATAATTGTGTTTTGCTTAAGGTTTAAATTGCATTTATTCAGTTACTTTTCTTCACAATACCTTCATTTCAGAAGGGTGACTAGGTTCTCTTGCTATTGAGAGTCAAGGTCACAATGACATATCTAAGCCATTCTCTGATTGGTTAGCTGCTTTGAGACTATCATTATATTGTTCAAAAGGCAAAACTAGAATGGTTTCAGTCCACAATGGTTTCTTAATCCTAATACAGACTGTTTACCTCGTGTATTTTATGTACAAGACAAGGCAAGAAAACATACTACTGAGGTTTCATATTATGCATACACACAATTGTGAACTCACCAGAGTGTGCTTTTTAAAATTTGGCTTTTATGTACATATCATCTTAGATAATCATTCTGCATTTTTAATCACACAGCTCACAACAGTTTTATACAATATCAGATACATTTCTGAGCTCAAAGGAAAGCTCTACACTGACAGACTAAAAGAACTGAACAGAGAAGACATGTGGACCTCGTTAAAGTACAATATTCAGAATCCTCAGTGGACCTCTTTAGAAACATTAATAAAACTCGAAGTAGAGGACACAAGTTGAAGCTATAAGGAAGTGCATTTACACCTGAGAACAGGAGACAGTTTTTTACACAAGGGGCTGTAGGAGTACCTTTAGGTTTTGGCAGGAAGTAACCTTAGGATCATCGGTTGATTACTGAAAAAATAAACAAATGAGTTAGATGGGCCTAATGGCCTTTTCTCATTTGTAACTCTTCTTATATTCTTATACCTATACTCTAATAATCATTCCCCATTTTTTAAAATATTATTTAGTTCATAAACATGACATGATGTCTTTCAATTCAAGTTGTACTAAAAGTATTATCATGTTTTTAATGGGCTATTTGTACCACGAATTCAGAGCCTAACCTGCATGCTATTATTATAATAATTAATCCTTATATATAGCAAGGATCCTAAATCACTATACTGTACATATAGTATCGGAAGTACCCACTTCATCAGCCACTGAATTCAGCTCCACTACACAGCTGAGGGCAGCGCACCTCCTATATCTCAGAGTATCCAGGCACCATATCTGGGTATTGCTTTGAAAACTGTTGTCCAGGGGGAATAGTACCACCTACTGGTCCATCAACACCCTGGATTTTCTTGGAGGTCTCGTGTCCCTGTTCTGCGCTCACCAGCTTCATGTTTGCCTAACGTCTGAAAACAATCTGGTTTCTTTTTTCACCTTGAAGACTTGGCTTTGCAACCGGCCTTTTATTGCAGTGGCAAATGAAATTGTCACTGAAATACAGCTGTGTAGTGTAAAATATCTTGGTTACTGGAGATCTGTGTTTTTTTAGATCTTTTCCAACATTATTATATGTGGCATACTGATCTTTATGGGGATCCAATATCTTTCTGTGTGTTAAACTAATCAGTTTGCAGATTATATTAGGAATTAGAACCCAAGTACAGTGATTAGCCTTTATGAAATTAGGGGTGCAAGTGAACTAATGTTCAATAATATGTGATTACAGATGTCTGACAGTGAGAAGACAGGTCCTGGGGAGGAGCTATCAGGTCCCCAAGAGGAGGGCACTGATGCTGAAGAGAAACCACAGGAGGGCACAGAGGATGTAGAGAAACAGCAAGTGAGCACAGAGGCCGGGGAGAAAGAGGATGGTGAAGCAGCTTTACCCAGACTTACAAATGAGGGCATCGCCCCTCCTCTTATCAACATACAGAAAGGTAAGTCCCTGCCATGTATCATAGTTTAGTATTTCCACAATGACGTCTGAGATAATGATGGACTAGACTTTCAGTTATATTCTAGTTTAGGCACACAGTATATGAGTGAAAAAAATGATAAGTTCAGACATGTTTTGGTCCTCTTTCTTCCTATGTGAAATGATTGATTTTGTTATGATTTCACACTACAGGACTGAAAATTGTTGCTGCACAATTCCTTTTTTTTTCTGTGTCAAAGCTGTCACTCTTGCCTGGTGATTAGAACTCAGAAATGTTCTGTTCTTAAGCATTACAGTTTATGTGGTGTATCCTCATTCATTTAAACATGAAGAAATTATTATTCCCTACATCTGTAGCACACAATAATTAGATTAAAGGGGAAAAGGAAGCCTTTTTTGTAACCAAATATTATCTTCCCTGAGATTACTATGCAGTGCATTCGATTTTACTGTGTTTTTTCTGTGGTAAACTGTCTGGGGTAGCATTATAAAAACATTAGTAATGCCTCAATCACTAAGAGTGAAAGCAACAATGACAAAATGTGATGAATAAAGTAGACAAGAATAATCAAAATGTACGAAACAGTAATTCGACTTTGAGAAAATATTTTGTCATAAAAATGAATAACTTTTCCCCCTACGTACTGTATTTACAGATCAGGGAGCTAAAGGGCACAGGCGTTTAGGTTCCAAGAAACCCAAGGGTACAAGTCACACAGCAGCCTCTGTTGTATCATCTCCTACAATGACCACACCAGTGAGTGCAGCCTTTATGTTTTTGAAACAGCCTCAGCTTACAGATTTTTTCCTGAGTAAGAACCTAAGAAAGTCAATTAATGTGAGGAAGTTAATCAGCACATCTAGCTTCTTTAGTTTTTTGAAGATGATTGATCTAAGGATCTATTGTACTTATGCTAGTTGACCTCAGTATTTTATATCTGTATACTGAATATTCTACTCTTTTCAAACATATTCAACATACTGTATGTTTATGTACAAATGTTTTGTACAAGAGTTTTGTACCCCAACTATTCAGTCTCCAAAAGTTATACTGAGATTTTTTGAGACTGTATGACGGGACTCCATTACAGGCTGATGGTCTGTGTGCTTAAGGAAATACAACTTTATGACACTAAAGGAAGTCAGAATCATTCAGTGGAGATTCATTCTGAGTATGTCTGGTTTCACATATACAGTATATAATTTAGGTTTGATTGCTTATTGCCCTTTCCTGGAAATCTACCTAACGGTTTCCTGCACCAGAGATGAGTACTCCACTCTTCTGAAGAAGGAGGATGAATACTGTTATTTGTTATTAGTGAAATCATACATAGACTAGCCAGTGTGGTAGTCTGTATGAGACGATGCATCTGCACCTATACCCCCCCGTCAGCTCACATAAACTGGTGACGTGTTTGTGCTTCAGACACCTGGTAAAAAGACCACAGTGCTGTCAAATGAAGCGAGGAAGGAGATGGCCAAACAGGCCAAGGCCACCAAGGACGAGCGCCGGGCCCTGCTAGATGCCCGACACAAGTACCTTATTGTCAAGCTGGCTGACGGCGTGGGCCTGGGAGAGACAGAGGTGGAGGAGGCGGTAATTTCTGATGAAAAGGTATTAAGTCTAATGAATAATTTGGAATCTGTACGATGTTTAGTGAACTGTAAGGTCCTGTTATTTTCATTATAATGTCATTATATTGTCATAGTGAATATTGTCTATTTTTATGACCTCTATAATACGGTATATACAGTACACTAGATAAATACTGATTATTATCACCAGATTTGTACAATACATGTGGATTTCAGTCAGTTTTGTATTGCTTGAAGTTAATCTTTTCTGTTCCACCAGTTTAACATGATTGATGAATTCTTTGCACCAAATGGAACAAAGAAGCTCCTCTTCTTCTACCAAGAAGTAAGAATGGTAATGATCCTTTCCATTTATACATTTATTTTTTATGAATTACCACACAGGGATAGACACATTGGTATTCTTGTTTTGGTGTTGTGTCAGGTACAGTATGCAGTACCTTGAAATGGAAAGCAAGGCACCTTAAAGAACAGATATACTACATGATAAATAGCAAGAAGTATTAGTTTATCTTATTGTGCATTTAATTACTGCTAGCTCTTCATGCCTTTTGAATTCTTATGTGTCTTTTGGGGTATTTATATTAAGATATATCTATTTTGAATAGGTATCTTTGCATACAATATATCTCTAGAAAATGAGCTTACCTACCTGCCAGTTATCTGGGCCGCTTTTTTCTCTGGTGTAGAAATTGTTTTATTTAAAGTCAATTTCTGTCCTGTCTAGCACAAGCAAAGCATGTCCTCCTGGATTGACAGCTCCAGTGTGCACACAGTAGTGACACAGGCACAGAAGAAGCTCTTTGTGACCAGTGGCTCTGCTGAGGTAAGAGAGGCCTGATTCATTTACTCTGTCGCACCCTTTAATTTATACTAATTTCTATGCAAAACTGTGTACCAATGTGGATACCGAAGACATTAAAACAAAAATCTCACAGGAAATAGTACTTAAAACTGTTGTTGGTAACAGCAATTTATTCTCAAATGTAAGATTTAAATTTTAATTTTGTGTAATCCCTAGAGCATTGTTTCCACAACTTGTTTTTATCAGATATAATCCTTGGTCATTCCTCATCTTCTAAAACACAGCATTGTTTTTTTCAATTTATCTTCACTTTGTCCCTTTTTTTGATCTTGCAGGGTTTAGTTGGAACATGTTTGTTTTTTCTTAGGACCACAGACAAAGCTATAACAACAGCAAATGTCTCCCAGGTTAGTGCTTGTCTTTAAAAGGGGTCATACATACACAGGATCTGCACCTGTGGCTTTAAGGTTGCCGGTTCAAATCCTGCGGCCGGCAGAGGAATTCTACTCCTTTGGGCCCCTGAGCAAGGCCCTTAACCCCAACTGCTCCAGGGGTGCTGTACAATGGCTGACCCTGCACTCTGACCCCAAGCTTCTCTCCCTGTCTGTCTGTTTGTGTCTCATGGAGAGCAAGCTGGGGTATGCAAAAAGATGAACTCCTAATGCAAGAAATTGTATATGGCTAATATAGTGATCTTATCTTATCTTTTATCTTATATGTGCATATGTACAAAGTACAGATATTGTAGTAACAAAGACCTCTGTTAAATTATTGTTGATATTTAAAGAGGTGGTAAAAATCCAAACATTTCATTAAGGTCTACAGCTAACAAGCTGTTAACATCTTCATTTTGCAGATACTTTACTGTTTTGAACATGTATATTTCTAAAATATAGTATAGAATAGTCATCAACATAGTTGTAGTTGCTATTACAAGTACAACAGGTCAGAAGAAGTAAGAAGTTTTAACCTTTTCAGTTTTTGGAATTTGTCTAATGTTGGTTTCTTTGCAGGAAGTGAATTTTGGAATGCTGGAGTGCTCCGATGGGAACATACTTTACAGCCTGGAAAAGCTTTTTGCTCAGATCATGCTACCTGCACTTAAATCCCAAGAGGTACTCACTCACTTCTACAGAGGTGTATAAGAAACAGACAGTGGCCTTAAGTGGTTATCTGTAAACACTGGTTTCCTCTTTTTGCCGATGTTTATTGATGTTTTGGAGCATTTGTTTGAGCTTTTTTAGTGGTAGAGCAAACCAAACTCCAGAGCAAATGTGTTTGTTCATAGCTCAGGTTAACAAACTTCCAGACAGAACTGTACAACAACCAGAAAGGTCTCATTAAAATATATTCCGCCAGTAAAAAGAAATGAAAGAGACAATGGAAAAGAAAATAAATGACTATTAAGATTTTATGATAAGAAGATGGTAATCGCTTTATGAAATCTTGGCTTGTGGCACAATATGCACAAAACATCTGAAAAAGATGGTAAATTTAAGGTAACACCTGAGACATCCCTGCTTCCTTGAAGGGACGGTATGATTACCACCTGGTAGAGTATGTTTCGTCCCTTCAATTTCTAGTTTGTTAAACTGCTGATATTGCTCCACAGAACTGGGGTGCAGTAAAGGATGGTCTGAACAGTGCCCAGGTACAGGAGTTCCTGAGTTCGGTGGAGAAGTTCGTTAGTAGCCTGTCTTCAGCCAGGCAAAGCGTGGAGGGAAAATTCCAGCTACAGACAGAGGATGTTGAATATAACCTGGATGGTCTTCAGGGTCCTTTGGATTTCTCTAATGCTGGTAAAGTATTCATATCTCTTACATTCAAGTGCAGTGTTTGCTTTTCGTAAAACGAAATCATGAATGTATCATAATGATGTGTCTTCCGTAATGAAGACCCAGTCTAAGACCACTCTAAAGGATTGTGGGCAGACCGAGGCAGGTCTTATTCCCGGGCATCCTGACCATCTGGGTCCTGGGCTCAGAGCACCTGGCTCCGTTATGATTTTAACTTCTTTGTTCCTGATTCCTCATCCCCCTTCCTGTCTCTGTTTGGATGGATCTCCCAGCTATGGGCATTTGGGTTGCTTTCTGGTTTCCCCTTTCGGATTGTTTTGATCACGTTCGCCTGAGCCACGCCCCCCAAGCACCAGACCACTGCCGTCACGCCTCCCCCTGTCAGTCATCCCGTCCTGATCCTGCCGTGTTTCCCTGTTGACCCTCCTCCAGTCTCTTCCGGATTTACCGTCTGCATAGGGTCCTAAATACACACTACAAGGGAGTCTGAACTGGCTCCCGTTACACCAGGGGTCATCCAGTTGATTCTATGATTGTCAGACCAGGCTCAGCGTGTGGACCTTCTCTTGCAGCTGCAAACTCAGAGCTGGTGGAGGCCTTGGAAGGAGCGCTGCTGCGATGGGCCAAGCAGATCGAGCAAGTCCTGACGGAGGGTGAGCAGATGCGGAAGGAGGCCGACGACATCGGGCCCTCTGCGGAGCTCGAGCACTGGAAGAAGAGAATGGCAACATTCAATAGGTCAGTGGCTTTGATAGAAAAAAGGGTAAACATTTGATCCAAAAAAGTCAGTCCATACCTATGTTTTATAATATATTTTGGCTGTACGCTCTCACATTGCTTTAATAGTCATAGAGGAGCTGTATGCATTCTGATTCAATATCTACAAAATACTGTATATGCCTCGGAAGAGGTGCCATAGGAACAAACTAGCATCCACCACAAATCAAGAGAAGGTCGAAATGTGGCTTTATCAGTAGAAAGATTTTGCTGAATGTTAACAACAATGTCTACCTGTAAGCCAACCACTGTTTATTAACTGTTTATTGTCTTTGCACTAGCACTTGCACTGACCCAGGCAAAAATGGATAAAAGAAACTTATTTCATTAAATATTGTAACCATTGATCAAGAAAGAATTTCCCGATGATATTGTAGAGGGTACAGTTATAGAGTCACTACCTTTGACCCCAGATCTGATTCTGTGGCCAGTGGTCATTGGTGAAATGTCCTTCTGATGATGTGTTTGTTTTTGTCAGTCTTTTAGATGAAATCAAAAGTTCCTGTGTCAAAAGGGTCATTGGTGTGCTACAGGTTGCTAAATCCAGAACTCTGAAGATCTGGAAACAGCTGGTATGTTGCAAATTGTAAAATTCCACTGGGTTTACCTTTCTTTATTAAGGTTTTGGCGAGACTGTTATTTCTTTAATCTTTAACCATAAATAGTTCTAAAATCCTATTGTATGAAACTATTGTTAAAAGCACCGCAGGAATGAAATGTTTCTTGTCTGTCTTAATTGAGTTTCTCAATGTGAAGAATTGTGACTGACTGTCTTTATGAATTGAAGATCTTTACATTAAACAATGTTAGAAATGAGCATTCTGTAGGGAAAGGTGTTACAGTGGCATGCATTGGAAGACTGAAGAAATGTGGTACACATTTAGACATACACACATATATAGATCTTCTTTATATCCTTATATTAATTATTATGCCCCTAATACACAACAGTTGTTACTGTAGGGTTGTGGTAAGTTAGGGAATCTATTTTATAAATCCTTTATTTGATCAAGTAAGTCAATTGAAAACTTCTGACAGATCCCTTACTTCAAATAAGATGCCTCCTGTGATCTCAGCACATGCACTTTTCTGAAAACTGTCAAGCGCAATCTTAGAACAAGATTTAACTGAAATAACAAATATCTTTTCCCTTTTATGATTCTGACTATTTAAACAAAACAGAAGGGTAAAAAGTATATATCGCACAGAACTCTTTTCTGTTAATAAAATCTAAGACATAAGACTACAGTGATCTGAATGGTCTACACTTTATATAAACCAGTAACTGCATTTTCTAATCAAATAGATTTACAGCAAAATTAAAAGACTACAGAGAAGCCATCACCACTCTTCCTTCCTAATCTCAACCACACTAATTACACCCATATGTGATAATATGAACTAATAATATGAATAATTAACACATTTGACTTCTTTTGGATGCTCTGTATTAACAAGGGATATAAGCCCATTTGCGGCCTCTAGTGGGGGTTTTGTTGTTAGTACAATCCCCTTAAAGACAGGCCTTCCACAAGAACACAGGAACTCTTCCTTATCTACTACTGTATATAAACCTTGCTCAAGAGTACCCATGAGTCACTGGTTGGGAGCCAATCTGCCTTAATATTCATATATAACACTGTTGCAACATGAAAGAAGAAATGCTGCATATTTTATCATGTAGAAATGTATATTTATAAATCTAGAGTTTAAGATTTCTAGAACTATTACAGAGAATGTTTCATCAACATCTCTTTATCTTTACAAATTTGTATTGCCCCAATGATACTAGATAAAATTGCATTTTCTTATGATGTAGACCTAATGTTATTTTTCTAGCCCAGTATTTGCATTTGTATACAATTATTAATGTATCACGCTCTTTGATTATATTCAGGATGCATTCGGTTCATTTACTTCACAGAGCTTAGTTTATTAGTGACTTGGAAACGTATCAGACAATAAAGTGAAAAAAAGAAGAGAAGGGAAAAGAAAAAATTCACACTACATTACACTCATATTAATATACACAGGAAAAGAAAGTTTGATTTTTTTCTTAGATGTGTAAATGAGTAAAAAGGGTATTCAAATAGTTATAAGTAATAAATAGTAAAAAGGGCATCAGATTTCCAAGTAAATGACACAATATCTGAAAACAATGAGGAAAATCAGATATACAGTATGTTTGCTTACATTTATAATAACTATATCTAAAATCAGCACATTAATTGAAATATACAGTATTATTTATTTTTCTTTTGGGAAACACATTTTCCATGTTATCCTCCGCTTCTCTTTCTCAATCCATTTTTTCACGTAATCTGTCAATTTACAGTTTTTGCCAGTGAGTGAGGCACGTGTTTATGTTAAAATGAGCTGTTCCTCTTTCTCGTAGGATGGCAACATCACTAATGCTGCTAATGAAGCTAAAGACAATGTGAAATATCTCTACACTCTGGAGAAGTTCTTCGGCCCCCTTGGCAAGTGTTCACCAGTAAGTGCTATTAAAATGCAGGAGCAGCACGAGCCAAGCTACAACAGTTAAAATCCTTAAGGGCATTGACAACAGAATGAACAGTACAAAATGAACCAGAGGATAAAAGTGGAAACTGTATACAGTACGTGCATTTAAAATGGGTTGTCGATGTATGGAGCCATGTTATTGAAGGCAAGTACTCTGGCATTTTTAAAGAAAAGGCTGGATGAGATCCTTGGATCAATTAACTACTAGATGCAAAATGGGCTAATATTGGACTATAACTGTTCTTATGTTCTTATACTTTTCTCACTGACATTGTTGATGTACCACATCAACTGAAATTGTTTTAAACCCCCCTGCCTGTATTATGACTTTCTACTGAGCTGATCTAAACTTTTGGTAGACCATGGGCACCTATTAGTCTCTTAAAAGGCAACAGAATTCAGATTAACTGAAGTTATTTTTTGTGTGTGTGTGTGTCTTAGCCCAGCATGATGGAACACATCCCAAGCCTAATGAACAGCATTCGAATGATCCACAGCATATCCCAGTACTACAACACCTCTGAGCGTATGACATCTCTCTTTGTGAAAATCACCAACCAAATGATAAGCACTTGCAAAACATACCTCACTCAGGGTGTTTCCAAAATCTGGGAGCACGACAGGTAAAAAACAAAGCAAACAAACAAAACATATACAGCACTTATGTATTGATTTGAAAACTATGGAGAGCAGAAAATATGAAGTTTATACACTTGTTATAGTGCAATTGACTAACTTAATATGTATATAACATACTGTAATTATATAATTTCATTTTAAAGACTTATATGACTATATAATTAAAATGTTAACACTGTATTTTGAAATGACCACAGTGCTCATTAGTCTTAGTAGGGTATATTTTTTTATAAAACAAGTATCAAAAGAATGACTTGAACAGCTCTTATTCACAATAGGAAGTAGGGAAGGACCCTCGGAATTTGAGAGAAAATCTTTAGGTATTCCTTAAAATGATGACATCATTTCTAAACACTGTTTTTGCTTCAGAATCCGAATGATGAGCACCTTCTATTTCAGGGACGAGCTGCTCAAAAGGATCAAGGAGTGCATGGAGCTCAATCATGAGTATCAGCAGTGCTTCCAGCGAGTTCGTGAAAAGCTCAGAGAAAACCCAAATGACAAGCAGTTTGAATTCAGGTACATTAAAGCAGTTGCTTGCTAGACCCAGAAATTCAACTAAAATACAGTACCATGCCTTCAGTTGGTAAATTCACAGCTGGAAAAGCAACTGCTTTATGAACATGTTTGGTCTTTGCATTCAATGGACTAATGAACTCTAGAGTTTATGTTAAAAAGATCAAATGTACTAGATTACAGATTCCTTTTGTAATTTCATTTTTTAACATTTATTTTAATTGATCTAAAGCACCATCCTATTGAGAAGAAAACAAATGACAAATTAGATGACATACACTTAACAATCAACAATGTACTTTATAGGGTTTTAGTAGAAAAAAGGAGAAAGAAATATTAGATAGAAAGACATACAGTATTTTGACATGGAACAAAATATCACATTATCTGAGCTATTTGATCAAAAGCAGTGTTCCAAGCCTCCAATATGGTGTTTTTTTTAATAGACTTACTCATTGTATATCTCTCTCATTCAGAAATATGACTTTGTCCCAGTTGACTTGACATCTTGACTCTAAACACAGTTTTTTTTTGTGGTGTCTAAGTGAAAACTACATCTTCGGGAAATTTGACACTTTCTGCAAACGGCTAGAAAAGATTGCAGACATGATTGACACTATTGAGAGCCTGTCATCTCTTCAGCAAGTGAAGATTGAAGGGATTGAGAAGATCTATATTCGCTACCAGACCATTGTTACCACTACAAAGTCCAAATCCTACAATATTCTTGACCACAGAAAACAGGAGGTATAGTTCATCGCATTTTGTATATGAGCAGCTTCACATTTGCTTTTGAGTATCATTTATATATTTTTCTCCTTTACAGAAATCATCATGCCTTTCAGAGCCACATACAGTACTGTATTTACAATAAATAAGAGCCAACATAGTATACAATGCACCTTTCTAATGGTTTTGTCCTTCTGTTTAGTTTGACAATGACTACACAGAGTTTAGGTACCAGATCCAAGGGCTGTATCAATCACTCCAAACACTCCTGGATTCCTGGTTTGAGCAATCTTTAACGGTGAGTCTTTTTCACCATTGTGTAACCTAATCTTTGTTCAAATTATGTAGCATGTTTTAGTCACAACATGACACAACATGTGATTGGGAAGGACACATGCATCTCAAAGCTATAATAATATCCAAGTCACTTTTTTCCTTTTAAGGATCACAACAACCTAGAGCCTTTGCCAGAAATTTAGGTTACTAGGTAGGATAAGACCCTGGACAGGACGGCAGTACATTGGATGGAGAAATAAGTTAGTCCAAATTTTCACCACTTGATTTGACATCAAAATTGAAAATTGGAAAATTGTGACATTCCTGTGAATCAAAAGCTCTCTTATTGCCAAGTGATGTCAACAACAACAACAACAACAACAACAACAACAACAACAACAACAACAACAACAACAACAACAACAACAACAACAATTTAGTATATGAATAATTTGATTACTTAAGAATAGGGTTCTTTTTCTTTCAGTTGACAAATGATATTGCTTGTTTTTGCTGTTTTTTTTGTCCTCTCAGACAGAGAGAATGTTGGATCTCCTAACCAAATTTGAAAAAATTGCTGGGGATCACCTTGACCTGAGTGACAAGTACTTGGCTGTCCTTCAGCGATACAGCAGAGACTTGGATCTTGTTCGCAAGCTTTACCAGAAACAGAAGGACAACCCCCCCACACCCCGTAACATTCCTCCCGTAAGTACTGTATACAGTATATGTTCTTAAAACAAGGGAGTTTGAATGTATTGTATTGAAGCTTGTTCCAGTTTCTTCTTACAGTCCAAAAACATACTGGGAGGTTAATTGCCTTCTAGGAAACTTGGCCCTAGATTTGAGTGTGTGCGTGTCTGTGTTTGTCTGCCTCGCGATGGACTAGCATCCCAAGGAAGGATATCCTGCCTTGTGTTCTTGTGCCTCCGGTCCTCCCATGACCCTGAATTGGAAGAAGCAGTTAGAAAATGGATGGATGGATGCTTGTAGCTTAATATATTGTAACCCGATGGGTTTGGCAAGGATGTAGGCAAGAACTCACGCTGTTTTAGTACAAACAGTTGGCGCTTTATTAGTCTGGCTCAGCAGCAACCACACAAGAACTAAGACAAGACAAAGCAGGTTACAACACACTAGGGTCATTTCGGGTACAGGGGTATAGGGTGGTAAAGTGTGCACAGGTATAAATGGGGGATAACTATTTTACAGTTAGCTGTGCAACCTCACACAGTGTACAGCTGTTCCGATTGGTCAGCAGCGCTGGCCAGAGGCTCCCTAGCCCCTGCCCTGGCTGTTATTCCCGTTCTGCCTTTCACTGCGCACTTTAGCAGGGCGCTCTTCAGCCGCAACACCAGGCGAGGGCGCCACAATGTTTGTATGTACTGTATGTTGGCATTAGAAACAGTAGAAATGAGCAAATCTATTGGAATGGAAAAGCAATGCAATTGATTCCAGCACTCATTACCACGCTTTGAGCAAGATGCAGCTCTGAGAATGTTTTCCTACATGGTTGGGGGCCTCACTTTGAAGGAGAATAGAAGCAAAGCCTAAAGAACCATTAGATATTGTTTTAAAATTAATAATGAAAGTAAAAGGAGTAATTAAAATGCAGGGGCATGACTGTGTGATATTACACAAATGTTTCCCTTTCATGGAGAAAATGGTAAATGGCAGGAGGCAAAAGATTTAATTTTATAGCAGATGCTCTCCTTCTTATTCAGATTTCAGTTGTCTTACTAATGCTTCTCCTACGTAATCCTGCATTATTTAACCTTTAGGTGGCTGGGAAGATACTGTGGTCCAGGCAGCTCTTCAGAAAGATTGAATTGCCCATGAAGGTCCTGAAAAATAAACTTGAAATCCTAAAGGTACTGTTAAAGTTTAATGAATGTTAATATAATAATTGATTTTGCCATATGGTTCCTACTTCAGTTATTTGTAAGAGTGGAGAATGACATTTCTAGCTAGATTGTTGGTCTCCAATGTTACAAATGTTTTGTGAAAATAGAAGCAGATGTTGGCATGAAGTATTAAGTATGCATATATCTATATGTATATTATTTAAGTATACATACTGTACTGATGTTTGTATTTCAATTTTTTTTATTGGAAGCAGATTTCTTCAGGTGCTTGAAATGAGAATACAGTCTCTCCAATATCTTTTTATTTGCATAAACCATAACATATAGTAGCACTGGCATTTGATCGCCAAGGTCACAGAATTAGAAATGTATTCCTATTAGTATGATCTATTAAAATATAAACAGCATGATTTTTAGATCTGTACTTTGTGGATTTTTTGGGTAATTTTACAACAGGAAATTGAATGAGAGGCCCTTTTAAGAAGGTAATATCTTGCAGAATTGTATTTTTTATATACACATACAGTACAGTACTGGATGTATTTAAGTACACCCAAATTATAACCTTTCAATACCATTCTTCTTTTAGCATAGTGTGCAAATGTCCCAAAAATTGTAAATAGAACAGTGGCTTATAAGATGTTGTGTTGTTCAGAGTAATTGAGGATTCTAGAAAATATCCATAATTTGTTAACTGTATATAGTAAAGCTAGCTTTGGGTCTGTCTGTATACCGTATATGACAGCTTTTCAAAACTGAGTACATCAGTGTGGCAAGTAAATGTGTTCAGATCAATCATTATGATCTTGTCCATGGATATTAATACACCCTCAATTCATTATATTATAAACCGGGGTTATGAGTACATTGAACAATGTCACAGTTCAGATTTTAAGGCTTGTTCTGTCTTAGAGCAGGTATAAAACCCCAACACCTTTTTACTGATCCTGGCAGGTTCCTGAAATGAAGAAGATTATTCGAAACTACAATAAGATGGCAGCTGTGCTCCTGGAGTTTGAGTTGCTGTATCACCGGGGATGGTGCAGGGCAGCTGAGATTGGTCGTCGTGGGCTGAACGCCTCTTTACTTGTCAGGCATCCTGACACAAAGGTATAGAGCCATCCTGCAGAGTGTCTGGGAAAAATGTATCCACTTTATTGAAATTCCAAACTATTTTCAAATTTGTTAATGCTTTACAAAGGAAATGGATGTTAAGGCTTCATTTCCCTGCCTTTCTGGACATTCATGTTGGTTTGTCTCTGTGTTAGAAGTGAAAGAGTTTGGGGGATTTATATGAAAACTAAGAGCACATGCCTATCACCTTTTCTCTTAATATACTATAGCATCGTTCTCAACCAATTATTCTCCTCTCTCCATGTAGGAACTTTATGTTAATCTAGATCCACTCATCCTTGAAGTCCTGCATGAAGCCAAGTATTTGCACAAAATGGGTTTTGAGGTTCCTGATGTTGTTCTCATGATGTGTGCAAATGAAGCACAAATCAAGGCTCATCAGATCAAGTGAGTAGATTTACTGTAGGAAGAGTTTTCTCCAGATTTAAACCAAGCAAAATTATGATGAAATAAGAGCCAAGGAAATATAAGAGGGAATGTATTTGCAGTAGAACTGAAGAACAGGAAATGCTTCTTTATACAAAGAATTGTGGGAGTTTCTCAGGATCATTTGAGAAGTAGCTGGGTGAGATCATTAGATCGATTACAAACCTTCTCATTTGTGTCCTTTCTTATGTTCTTAACCTGAAAGTACAGTAAGCAGTAAGTGTCCCCATCTTAAATTTACTCACAACCCTCACTGTCGAGTTTTACCCTCAGTTGTTTATAAAGTCTCTGGAATCAGCCTTGTGATCTCTATAATAAAGGTTAGTAGAAATGGCCTGTCCTTAGCAAGCTGATCATTGTACAGAGTTGCTGAGTTTCCCTGTGTGTTTTCTCTTTTGCTCTCTGAACCTTTGTCATAAGGGGAAAATCATATATTATAGTAAAGATTCACTTGGCCAACAAGTTGTGGACTCCACCTCACCCCCAAATCAATTTCTCAGGCCCTTCTTCTAACTGGTCCTTAACAAAGTTTTGCATAATGTCTTTGCACCTGTTTTTGGAATTTAAACACCGGACTCATTCTCTAATAATCTTTTCTTACCATTAGTTAAACTTTAATTTGAGGAGTATTTCTTCTTTTGTTGCTTTTCAGGCTACGAGACATGCTGCAGGATTTCCAGGATATTCTCAACAAGACCCCCTCCATATTACAGCCTCTGTTGCAGCCTTTTGTGAGCCATGTTGAGGATGCTCTCTCACCAGGGCTCACCATGCTCTCATGGACTTCCCTCAACATACAGAGATGTGAGGTTGAATTTCTGTTCTAGAGCAGAGAGATACAGATGTTATTTCAGAACTGTATGAGATCCAACTTATATTTAACAGCTGAAATGTATGCTTAAAAAAAATCAATGTAAAGATTACATTATGTAAGCATAAAGTGTAATATTAATCATGCCCAAATTCATGATCTTATGTGTATTTTTTTTTTAAACAAATTTTAGGGGAAGTTTTCAATTTTATATGTTGCTTGTTTATAAAATTGAATTTGTTCAGTTTTCAGGATGCGTCAGCATCTGTATTTCTATTAATTCAAAAGAAAAAATGGCAACGTATTTTACCTCTTATTAAAATGTATAACAAAGGCCGTGTGCTTCATAGCATAATTTTAAGTAACCATAAAAGTTTAAAAGTGAGAAAGATAATTCAAAAAGTGTAAAACTGTAAACCTAAAATACATGTTTTGGTTTGAAAACAATTTTCTTTGTGATTATGTTTACCTAGAGGTAACTATTAATTAGAACAAAGAAAACTTTAACCTATCAGTTCAACAATGTATAACACTTTCCTTATGTCCTAATCCTCATCTAGTCATTGAGAATGTGTACAGCACCCTGACAGAGCTGGAGCAGATAGGAAAGTCAGCAGGGGACACCTTGGAGTGTCGTATTGAGAGGAGCCTGCAGACCATGTCCTCCACTCCTCTGCTTGACCTGCCTGAGGAGGAGCCTGTAGACGTCAGTACCTTTCAGTTCATGGCAGAGAGTGTGGTCACTGCAGCAGGGCAGGCTCTCAGCACGTGAGTCCAATTGAGTGGATAGCTGCGTCTGCACGCATTGGCTACAACCCATCTCTCTTGCTAGCCAATGGTTTTCTTATGTACATCATATTAATATACTATGTTACTGTACTATACTATACTGTCTGCAATATTAATAAATGTGGTCAAATGTGGTCAAGTCTGTGGGAAGAGGAAGGTAAACACAAAGACTGAAATGTTAGCTGTTCTTTAAAATAAAATTATGTTTTCTTTCCTTAATTGGACCTGATGAACATGAACAAAAATATCTTGGAGACAAACTGTATTTGTTCATTGTACTTTACAATATTTATAACTTTCTAAATCCATCTAAAGTCCATCTAAAATCCCTAAACTATATTTAAACAGAAAATATAATATCAATGTATTCCTCCTTTCCACACCTGTATTCTTCTTAGCTTGATAGCTGTATTTGTTATTATTAGCTTTAGAAAATTCAGAACAAAGAACATTTCTTTATGTATAAGAAGCAAACATTACATAAGTAAAGCGCAGCCGAAACTTTTAAGTTGGTTGACAGTTTTCAACAGACAATATTTCTAATCTTGGCAAAGACTTTCCTGATGACATAATGTACATCTAATAGTTTTTTTTGGGGGGGCTTTCTGTTAGGCAAAGCCAACAGGTGGAAAGGTCCATGTATGAGCTGATAGAAGATCTCAAGAGAAAGATGAAACCTGCTGAAAAGACTAACTTAGAGGTTAGTAGAGGATCAACCACTGGCAATCTTAGCAGGTAATAAAGATCTTTTCAGTGAAGACAACAGGGACATTGTACATCTGTGTTAAAAGCACAAAGGTAGAGGTTTGCAAATATTATTTTATGTGGAAAAAGATAATCGTATATGAGTTTTATTATTATGCTAAAAAGATAAAACTGTCCTTCTCCAAAGTTAATTGGAAATAAGCATGCATTTTAAATTTTAAAGAAATGCCTTTACGATGACTATATTGTCTGTTGATCTCATCTGTAGACTCTTTTGTGGGTTAGCAATATTTTTTGTTGTCCACTTTTATAAAAAAGGAGTTTTCACTCAATGGTTCTGTTACAGGGCTTTTATTTGGTTGCCCCTGGTATGGTTTTATCAAGATGCAAACATCTTACCAATGTTGTTGCGTTTCTTGCTCAGGGCTCCTATCCTTGTCTCCACCCTGATGTCAAGCAGAAGACTCGCTGCCAGGAGTGTCTGCCCTGTAGCTTCTACAACATGATGGGCCAGCTGTGCCAGAAAAACACAGACGCTCTAGTCAAATGTAAGGCTATAAGGAATATTTTCCTTCTGGATGTGCGATCAAAAAACAGGGTTATCTTGGCATAAAATATATTCAGTCAGAGCCACCAAATAGTCATTTAGCAAATATAATTAATTAGTCATTAGGAGATGTCACTCAGCAGTTGCAAAATGACTTTTAATGCTTTTTGGTACTGGGCAAAAATTATTTTTACTTGATCTGATCCTAATTGTATTTTAAAAACGTATGTTTAAGGACAAATCATAGTCCTTTGCATACCTTTGTCTTGTCCTGTTAGGCATCTTAAAACTTTTACATTTCCTCAGGAGCAAAAAGCCTTTAAAACATATTCTGTTTTTTCACAGAAAACGTGATACTTAGGCACCGCTTGTTTTCTTTCAGCTACAAAACTGTCCTTGGATGCCCTCAAGCGACGGCTCCATGTAGTCAGCTCTAAATACCAGTCAGCTTTGCAGCCAGTAAGACCTGCTGCCCAGGCTCCTCTCTTCAAAGCTGCCTTTCAGCTTGCCATACCCAACATTGTCATGAGACCGAGCCTCGACGACATCCAGGTATTCTTTAAGTTCTTCGGCTGGTCAAGCGTTTTCAGTATCTGAAAGTGAGTAAAGGTGCAAAGGTGATCTTGTGTTGAAAAATTCCCCTTTCCTCAGAACTGGGACAGGTAGCAATGTTACCTGCATGAGGCTTGTGGCAGTGCACATCCTGTTTAATTAATAAGCAAATCCCATGTATTATAGTTCTCAAACCTACTGTCAGATATTGAAGAATTATACCATTTGGCTTACCCAAAAACGTTTGTATTTATTTCCTGCATGAACTACAGTTATGCGTACAAATTGCTTTTACTGAAAACAAGGCATGGGATGTTTGTGAATGTTAAAAAAATTGCAAAAAAGAAAGAACTCACATAATGCTTTTTCTACATACATCCCATTCTGCTGGTTTGTTGTTGTTGTTGGTGAAAATACATTCCTGACTCTGTAGGAAAAATGTCTTATATCAGAAATGTAAAATGAATATCAGCTTGGATACTGGATCTTCTCTGGGGTGATGCCATTCTGTTTTTCTTTCCCTATATTCTAGAGTACTCTTAATAAAGCTGTGAACACTATACTCTCCATGGCAAAGGATATCCCACTATGGACATTTGCGCACTTGCATCACAAACAGCTCGTGGTATGGTCTTCCCTCCATCACATTACATTCACGTTTCAACACGTTAAAGTTGCATTTATTGTAACATCGTAATGGGTTTCATTGTAATGGGAATTAATGTAAATCAATACAGTACTTGTGCTGCTCTTCTATAAAGCACCTGATGTATCATTACTGTCCATCCAGATAAGTGTACTCTGTTTTCTTATTGAGTGTTTACATTTTTATAACTGGCTGTATAATTAGATTGGTTACATCTGTGCCTTTTAAGAACCGCAAGTGTGTTTCACCTTAGAATTGCCAGACATATTTACATTTGCAAATTTTTTAAAAATGCCCTCTGCAAGAGTGAGAATGTCGCAAAGCTCTCTCTGAGCCCTTCTGTCTGGAGGGTAAAGCTAAGTTCCTGTTTCAGATGGAGCAGAACGCTGTGAGGGACGCAGGGGATGATGGTAAACTGACCAAGCAGATAGTGCTCAAGGCCCTGGACCGGCAGCTCAGTGAACACAAAGACATCAGCAAGGTTGTCATTCAGCTCAGCTCCATTGTATCCTCACTGAAGGCGGATGCTGTGGACGTCCTGGACGACTTCTCCTGCTTCTCCATCCTCTGGAATCAGGTCAGTAAGTCAATGCATCCATCATGGCAAAATTACTTTTCAGGGAGGTAAATTAAACCTTTTCATACTGTATGTGTCACGGCCTCCATGTCTAGAGGGCGCTCCTACTCTGTCCTGTTCCTAGTTTCCCTGTGCTTTTCTTGTCCTTCTGGTGTGTCTTTGTATGGGGCTATATACAGTATTTCTGGGTCACCCTTTGCTCCTCGCTCAGTATTGAGGGTTCAGATGTCTTAAGACCCACCTAGCACCAGGTCATCTCGTCCGCAGCCTGAGGGCATAGGTTTCTACCTGACATCGCCTGACCTCCTGAGCCTGGGCTAACCTCTGTGTTGCCCCTTTTTCCACTACGCATAGGGTCTTTATTGCTCTCCCTCCTATTCCACGGCATGCCCTTCCGACATCTGTGAGAGAATGCTGAGCCATACTTTGACCCCACAAGCGGCGTTTTTTCTATTCTTGTTTTCCCGCATTGCTTTGGGCTTTTTTTTCCCGGTTCTCCTATTCTAATCACGGGATGCCACTCCCGACATCCATGCCTGTGAGCGGGTCATTCGGCGGTATGTCTTTCCCGTCATCCGCATATGAATTCCTGGCTTTCCTTGGGTTGTCACTTCCGGCATCCATGATTGAATGTTGAGCTGGCTCTTCTATTCTTGTTGCGCGATGCCACTCCCGACTTCTGTGCCTGTGTGCGGGTCATTCAGGGGTATGCCTTCCGACATCTGTGTTCAGATACCTGACTTTCCACAGGAAGTCACTCCTGGCATCAGAATGTTGAAATTATTTTTTGCCCTGTGTGTGGCGTTTTTCTATTTTTTTTTGTTCCTGGGTTTTTTGTTGTTACTTTTTTTTTT